TCTCTGCCGTCGTAGCTGCAAGTGAGAAGGATCACGGTAACTCCCAGAATTTCGGAAGTAGGGATGCGCTTGAGGTCTGGGGGATCGGCCTCGAAAATGAACTTGTTGACACCGACGGGGATCGGTCCCACCAGGAGAGAGTCGAGTTCCTGGTCATACTCGGAGCTAGAGGAGAAGGTCGTTAACAGGTGGATTGAATTTTATCCCGGTCCGATCCAACTTACGATGTCGCCGAACCGACATAGGTGAGCTTCCACTCCAGATCTGGAAATTCATTAGCGACGGCCAATTCATGGGAGCGGGGGTCACAGCGTACCTTTCTGCAGCTGTTCAAGACATTCAAACGTGATCTCGAATTGATAGGGGTCGAGGAAAGAGGCAGGGTTATTGACGATTTTCACGCCAAGAAGAGAAACGACCGACATAGCGATGGAGGGGCGGTAGTGGAGCGAGCTGCTTAATGGAGTAATATGGAGGGATAGAGGGGGAGGCAAAGGATGGTGTGGTAGACCAGAGGTGTTAGATGTGGAGAAGTATGATGAAGGGAGGAGTGAGGCAAAGAGGTTGTGGAGGTATATAAGAGATATGAAAAGGGAGGAGGGAAGAGAGAAGAGAAGACGATCTCTTTTTGGTAACTGAATGGGGATGCAGCGGCCAGCAGTAATTAAACATGCGGCAGGAAGATCGACGACGCGCCGCGTGTTTTCTGCGCCCAAGTTCGCGCCCACCGCCTAAATCACGTGGAAGAGCACCGGTCGGGCAAAGCAAAGAAAGAAAGAAAGAAGCTCTCGAAGCGGATGAACTCCATCTTTGTCGTCAGTGTCGCTGATCCACCAGCGGCCTCTCGTGTCTGTCGCCTATCTCCAAACGCAGATTCTGTCTCTCCCTGAACCTTCCCCTCTCTCCTCCTTCATCCCTAACACCTTACCGCCTGTCGTGGGTCCTTCCCCTCTCTCATGAGTGAATGACCGATTCATCATCGCTCATTCTGCTGTCTCCCCCCATTCAAGAGCTCAATCAGCTAATCAAACTCAATCAGGTTCCTCCGTTGCTCCCCCCTCCCTCAATTATCAACACCCCTCCCCCCTTAACATATATATCACAATACCCTTGTCGCATTCAATCACACACCTTGGTCATGGCTGAAGATGATGCTGAAAAGGCCTTTTTCCAGGCTCAGGCTATGAATGCGGACTCTGGAGACTATAAGACCGTGGAAGAGCAGGATGCAGATAGTTCAGATTCAGATGACTATGATCCTTCCAAATCACTGCCAGATCAGTATTCTGTTTCCTTGACAGATTCCAACCAACCGGACAATGTTCCTGATCATGATGTTACTCCTTCCAATTCCAATCCCCCCGAACAAACTACTACTACCACTACCACTACCACCTCTACTTCCCTGCCTGCCCCCCCTGAATCAGACCCTAGTCAGCCAGCTGGCAATGCCTTCCCTTCTGAGACACCTTCACGAGCTGAGTCCCAGACACCAGCATCGGGCCTCGCCACTGGGGCCTCGGTTCCGCCCAAGACCAGGACAATTGGGGGCTTTGTGGTCGAGGATGAGGATGAGGATGAGGCGGGTGAGGCAGATTATGAGCCACCAGCTGTACTAGGTGTCGAAGACATGAATACTATACCTTCGCAACCCATTTCAGGAAATGCAAATGAAGCTACTTCTACCCCTGATGTATCATTGGATGAAGCTGCGCAAGTGTCTGCCAGCACGAAGACTGCCCCTAATAGTTCTTTCCCTGCTGCTTCTAAAAATGATGTGTCGGTGGCTTCGGGCCAGGAACTGTACAGCGCAAGTGTTGCCCCGTCGGAACAGGCGCAGGATGGGACCACCGTGACCCCCGAATCGCCCTCGACCGCCAGGGGCCGCTTGCCTCACGACCGGGTTGGCATCCTGGAAGATCGCATCCAAGAAGACCCCCGTGGTGACATTCCCGCTTGGCTGGAACTGATTAACGAACACAGGAGTCGCAATAGAATTGATAACGCACGCGATGTGTATGAGCGCTTTCTAAAGGTTTTCCCATTTTCTGTAAGTGACCTCTTTTGTATACCTTGGGAGACGAGCAAATCGACTAACGGTTTAAGGCTGAGCAATGGGTGGCTTACGCGACAATGGAGTCCGAGCTGAATGAACTCTTCCGCCTGGAGCAAATTTTCAACCGGACTCTGCTGACGATTGCGGACGTGCAACTCTGGACGGTATACCTTGACTACGTTCGTCGCCGGAATCCCCTCACCACCGACACAAACGGACAAGCGAGACGAATCATTTCGTCGGCCTATGAATTGGCTCTGCAGCACATCGGTATTGACAAGGATTCGGGGTCCATCTGGTCCGACTACGTCCAGTTCATCCGCTCCGGCCCAGGAAACGTCGGGGGTTCTGGATGGCAGGATCAACAGAAAATGGACCTACTCCGGAAAGCCTATCAACGGGCCATTGGGGTACCCACCCAGGCTGTCAATACTCTCTGGAAAGAGTATGATCAGTTCGAGATGGGCCTGAACAAGCTGACAGTAAGATTTTAACAAAGCGCCCTGTGGAAAATCCGCTCTAACAATGATCTTTTCTTCGTACAGGGCCGTAAGTTCTTACAGGAGCAGTCTCCGGCGTACATGACCGCCCGCAGCTCCTTCACTGAATTGCAGAACATCACCAGGGACCTCAACCGGACAACGCTGCCGAGGTTACCTCCAGTTCCGGGTTCGGACGGTGATATCGAGTTCCTGCAGCAGGTCGAGATCTGGAAGCGCTGGATCAGTTGGGAGAAGGGCGACCCGCTTGTCTTGAAGGAGGAGGACATGAGTGTTTTCCGGACGCGTGTGGTTTATGTATATAAGCAAGCACTTATGGCCCTTAGGTTCCTTCCCGAGCTGTGGTTTGAAGCTGCTGAGTTCTGCTTCCACAACGACATGGAGACCGAAGGGAACGAGTTCTTGAAGCACGGCATCGACGGCAACCCAGAAAGCTGCTTGCTTGCATTCAAGCGTGCGGACTGGCTGGAAATCAACTCTGATTCCGAGCAGGATCCCGTCAAGCGCGGCGCCAAAGTCAGAGAACCCTACGACCGACTCCTCGATTCGCTTTACGATCTGATCGCCAAAGCCCGGACTCGCGAGCAGCAAGATGTTGCTCATCTCGAAGAGACCTTCGCAAAGATGAATCCCGAGAAGCAACCGACAAAGAATGAGGACGATGAGGACGATCAGAGTGAGGCGAAGGCGAGGGAGTCCGTCAAGAACGCACAGATCGACGCCGTCCGCCAAGCACATGCCATACAGATTGGTATCCTTTCCAAGACCATATCCTTCGCCTGGATTGCTCTGATGCGCGCCATGCGCCGCATCCAGGGTAAGGGCAAGCCTGGGGAGATGCCGGGTTCGAGACAGATCTTTGCAGATGCGCGCAAGCGGGGTCGCATTACCAGTGATGTCTACATTGCCAGTGCTCTCATTGAGTACCATTGCTACAAGGACCCCGCCGCAACCAAGATCTTCGAGCGTGGTGCGAAGCTGTTCCCTGAAGATGAAAACTTTGCGCTGGAATACTTGAAGCATCTCATTGACATTAACGACGTTATCAGTAAGTACGCTCAGTGGCTATAAGTCTATGGATACGATGCTAACTGACTCCAGATGCACGGGCTGTTTTCGAGATGACGGTTAGGAAGCTCGCTTCTAATCCCGAGAACGTCCAGAAGACGAAGCCTATCTTTGCCTTCCTCCACGAATATGAGTCGCGGTACGGTGACCTTGTGCAAGTGATTAATCTCGAAAACCGCATGCGCGAGCTGTTCCCGGAGGACCCCACGCTGGAGCAATTCGCACACCGATACGCGACCCCTAGCTTCGATCCCACTGCTGTACGACCCATTATTTCTCCCTCTCAGACACGGCCCAAGATGGCATACCCAGCCGAGCAAGCCATTTCCCGTCATGCCACGCCTACTGCGCGGTACCAGGACGCGTCTGCGACAGACTCGCCTAAACGCCAGCTGGATGACTTCGATGACGATATGGCTCGGCCGCGCAAGTTCGTGCGTGCCGAGTCTCCCCTCAAGACGACGCAACGACGCCAGCTGGATCAGAAGCGCACGCAGCAGACCATGGGTGGGCCGTCCGGGGGCCAGTTCCGGTCGCAAGGATCCCCGGCACCTCTGCCGCGCGACATCGTTTATCTTCTCAGCATTATACCTTCTGCCTCAGCATACAACGCGGGGAAGTTCTCTCCGGAAAGGATGGTCGATCTGATTCGGAGGATCGATATGCCCAGTTCGATCTCCCAGATCCCGCTTCCACGGGGACTGGGAGCTGGACAGACGCCACAGTCATTTCCAGGTAAGTACGCCTAAGCTACATGATTAGTTGGATAGGTGACTGATTCTAGAGCAGGCATCTACCGTTCATGATCTGTCAATGATATAGACCCTTCGTCATGCAGCTCTTTAAGCGCAAATAGTCATGTTAACCTGGCGCTGTATCTGTTATTCTTTGTTTTTTCTCCGCCGGTCTCGACCGCCGGTACCACCGCGGCGTGGTACTGGAGTGTATAGTTGTTGGATGTCGCTTTGCATTTGATGAACCGGCGTTTTACCTTGGGTTACAATCACGGATGAGTTTGGGCAGCTGGGCCTTGAGTGAACCATCATTATTCGAGTTTGGGAGGGACTTGTACAGGTTTAGTGCCGTCCTAGCATGGCATGAGTTGCAGTCGACAGTTCCTTTGACGTATAATTCCAGCAGGATGAATGCAGCATTATATTGTCCACCAAAAGTTGCTCTCGTTCAGATAATTCCTCCGAAGTACAAAGTACTAAATAACTCCCGTAGTTAAGACAACCTGATTGGTCCGATCTCAGACGCAGTCTATCCCCCATAAAGTTAGTGCAAGTCTCTCACCGCTCCGCGCGGACTTCTTTTTCTGCCGCGAAATTTAGAAGAAAATCGAAGCGCATCAGATCTTCATCCAATTTCCACCCCAAAACATGTCGCCCTCCAGCTCCCCAGAGCCCGTTATGGACGATTCCCACGAATCCTCCGACTCGGAGGTCGAGCAGACCGATCTGCAGTCCCGCGCCCCCAAGAGAAGACGTCTTTCGGAGTCTTCCACCGACTCCTACGTTGCCCCGGCGCCGCTCCCCACTCTCTCCCGTATCAAGAAGAAGGGCGCAGATGAAGAGAAGAAGCCCGCCACATCGGATAAAGACGAGCCCGTTCTGATCAAAGATGCGCTGGAGATTGGTCTCAACGAAGCGCAGAACTCCTTCGCCTCTCTCAAAGTGGCGCCGTGGTTGATCGGTTCCCTAACCACCATGGCCGTGCGCAAACCAACTGCTATTCAGAAAGCTTGTATCCCCGAAATCCTGAGCGGCCGGGACTGCATTGGTGGAAGCCGGACTGGTTCCGGTAAGACCATTGCCTTCTCAGTCCCCATGCTGCAGAAATGGGCGGAGGATCCATTCGGTATCTTCGGCCTTGTCCTCACTCCAACTCGGTAGGCCGAACCCACCCCCACCCCCAATCACCCATCAATTACCATTGCTAACCCTATATATTCCTAGTGAACTCGCCCTTCAAATCTACGAACAAATCAAAGCCATCTCCGCCCCCCAAAGCATGAAACCCCTCCTCATCACCGGCGGCACCGACATGCGCCCCCAAGCCCTCGCGCTCGCGCAACGCCCACACGTCGTGATCGCCACGCCCGGCCGTCTAGCCGACCACATCAACACCTCCGGCTCCGACACCATCCGCGGCCTGAAGCGCGTCCGCATGGTCGTTCTCGACGAAGCCGACCGACTCCTCTCCCCGGGACACGGCAGCATGCTCCCCGACGTCGAAACCTGCCTGTCGGCCCTCCCACCCTCCAGCGAGCGCCAAACCCTCCTCTTCACAGCAACCCTAACCCCCGAAGTACGCGCACTGAAATCCATGCCCCGCCCGGCCTCCAAACCGCCCATCTTCGTGACGGAAATCTCCACCGAAAACAACGCCTCCATCCCCCCCACCCTCAAACAAACCTACCTCAAAGTCCCCATGACCCACCGCGAAGCCTTCCTCCACGTCCTCCTCTCCACAGAAGCCAACGCCTCCAAACCAGCCATCATCTTCTGCAACCACACCAAGACCGCGGACTTGCTGGAGCGCATGCTCCGCAGACTGTCTCACCGGGTCACTTCTCTGCATAGTCTGCTGCCGCAGTCGGAGCGGAATGCCAATCTGGCGAGGTTTCGAGCGTCCGCGGCGAGGTTGCTCGTCGCGACGGATGTGGCGTCTCGTGGTTTGGATATTCCGTCGGTGGAGTTGGTGGTCAATTTCGATGTGCCGAGGAATCCGGATGATTATGTGCATCGGGTGGGTAGAACGGCCCGTGCGGGGAGGAAGGGTGAGTCGGTGACGTTGGTGGGGCAGAGGGATGTGAGTCTTGTGTTGGCGATTGAGGAGAGGGTCGGGAGGCAGATGGAGGAGTGGAGTGAGGAAGGGGTTAGTGTTGAGGGTAGGGTTGTTAGGACGGGTGTGTTGAAGGAGGTTGGGGAGGCCAAGAGAGAGGCGAATGGCGAGATTGAAGAGGGGAGAGATGTTTTGGGGAGGAAGAGGAATAAGTTGAAGAAGGTGCGGTAGTTGTTTTCTGGCACTTGACTACCGTGTTTCTTCTTTTGAGTTATGTATATAATGTCGTTTATTTAGCAATGGCATGTAGATTTGATTTGCATTTCATTGTTGGTATCATATCATTGACTTTCCTCGAGAACCATTGCTGATGCGATGGGTCCGGAGTATAAGTCACATATGTAACGTCTGTCTGTCTGTCTATCTATGTGTATGTCTTTCACCGGCGCATACATGCACCACCCCATACTAATACATGCTTCTCCAAACCAACTGTGACACGAGTAAACAGAACTCCACTCCAAATCCGATTTTGTCCAACGAATCCCAACTCCAACTCCAATCCCATCTATAAGCCAAATTTCAATGCAAAATCCAAAATACCAACACTCACGCGACCCCAGTTCCAGTCCCAGTAGCAACACCCTCCCCCGTCCCCATCAACTTCAACAACCCATCCACGGCATCTCCCTTTTGCGATAACCGGCGTTGTCTTTCCTGCGGCTCCTCTTCTTCTCCTATGTCCATATCCTTGCCTATTTCTGTACTTCTGCACCTCGACACTGTCGCCGGAGGACTACTCAGCTGCATTGGGGAGCCGAGAGTATTTGTTCTCCGGTGGGTATGATTGTGGTGAGTTGTTGATTTCTGGGTGGGTGTTCTCATAGGATCGTCGTCATTATCATCATCATCTTCTGCTCTTTGGGTGGGTGTTTGTGTATCTTGTTCTTGCTCCTTCTGTGTTGCGATCGTTCCGGTGGATAGGGGTGGGGAGGAGAGGCCAGACGCGTTCTGAGTCTCGTTTTCGTGCAGCGGGAGGTGTGTGGTAGGTTGGTAAGGGCGCGGGGTGGTCTGGTTCTGGTTTTGGGAGGACGAGGCTGTGGAAAAGGAAGTCGGCGTGGTGATGTTAATTCGCTGTTCTTGGGGAAGGGATAGACGAGGGTATTTGCGACTGTGAGCTTCAAGGTCGGAGAGACGGCGGTCGAGTTGGGGGTCTTGGATGTGACGCATGGCAGTTTGGAGGCGCGTGCGGAGGAGGGTTGCTTTCTGGGAATTATTTAGTACACTCTGTCAGTGGGAATGGAGGGTACGAGGTACGTACCTCTTGGATGAAGCGCTTGCGCGTTGCTGGATCTTCGGGGATGAGGGGTGTTGTTGTTGTCGGTGTTGTTGTTTGGTCGGAGTGGGTATCTTCTTGTGGCTGGTGTTGTTGTGATTCTAGAAGCTGTATTGGTGTCTCTGGCGTCGCGTGTGGCTGAATTGGATTTTTGTTAGAGTGAATGGGCAATTTGACGCATTTTTGGCTGGAGTGTGGAATTGTGGTGGTACATACCTGAGGGTCCTGCTGAACGTCATGCTGCACGTTCGGAGATGCTTCTGGCCGCGACTGGGGCTGCGCGCTGGCATGGCTGATCTGGGGTTCACTGGTGCTGTCCACCTGGTCGATCGAGCGTTTCTGACCCGCAAAGAGAGGCGAAGGAAGGAGCTTCTTAGGAGAGGAGGAGGTCTCAAGGAGAGGGCGTTGTTGTTTGAGGGGCGAGACAGAAGCGTGCCGATGGTGGGCGGGTGACAGGCACGCGTTGGCGTGCTTCTCCCCGAGCACTCGCCTACCGTCTTTGACGGGGCTGGGGTGTGATGCGGACATGGTAGAGTGCATTGGAGGGTGTGATTTGCTCCGTAGAAATGGAGCTTCAAAGAAGAAGGGTGGTGTCGTGGTGTAGGTAAATCAAAAGAGTGTGTTGGGGGGGGAAGTTTAGGGTGAGAGGGTCTAGTAGAAATGGCAGTAAAGTAGTACTAGTAAGTTATAGTAGTAGTAGTACTAAGTCACGATGCCCACACACGCGCACACACGTCTTCCGGAGTGGAGGATCACGAGCTGGTGCAATTGGGTCCGAAAGGTTAAGAGAGAGGAAGCAAGGGAGAAAGGCAAAATCACGGTCTGGGTCAGAAGACTCAATGGCAGCAAGTTGGGGAGAAAGATGGGGTGGAAGACAGAGGCGCGTGGTCATCCGCGTCGAGGGTTCGGTGGTTCCCCTTTGCGGTGAAACTAAGCAACGTCCAGCCTCATAGCGTGTCTTTCTTCTTCCCTTCCACGCGTCGGCCGCTTTTCAACATCCACTTTTATTTACGGCATTGTGGTTTCTCCGTGGAAGATTAAAAGGTAAGTAACACTCTACACTGAATGATTGCCGGTCGATAATTTCATAATTGGGGAACTGATGTTTAATCTCTCTACACGTGCAATCCAGGTGTCTCTGTGTCATTCCTGGGTTCCACTTCATCGCGATCTAGCAAAGATGCAAGCAGATAGCAGCATCCACATTCCTGAAGCTGTGCAAATGACTGGCTACTGCGTTGGACTCCATCTTTGGCTCTCTCTCTCCAGCAATAGCAGCGGGCTTTATTATGACCCATCGGTAGAATGCTTCTTGTCTGCCTCAGGTTTCACTGACATGCTACGGGGTAATTGTTGCTCTAGCCTTGTACGACATGTCTTCTGCTTTAGTTGTTTGTAGCTCCACAGTAAGGGTAAGGTTATAGGCGGCAATTGACAGAGCTATGGTATACAGTCAGAGAACTCTAGTCGTTGACTTAAATATCCGTGAACCTCATGGTCAGGGACCATACTGGCGTTGGTGCGAACAAAGCTATGACGCGTACGCCGAGGAAGCAATGTTTGTATTGCTGAAGATTGATAACTTATGTAGTTGAGTATAGTAGTATCTGGAGGCCAGTGACCAAATAGTAGCCAAGCCATCAGTAATAGTACGAAAAGATGTCACGCATGTTGTGTTGTAGAAGAAATACATTCATGTCCCATCGGAGACATATTTGGCGGCGGTCAAGATCGAGACGAGGTATGACAGCACGACTGAACTCTGCCCAGATCCAGTCAACAGCATTTATTATAGAAGCTAGACTAAAATCTTTCTAGTCCTGCACAACATCTTTATACGATCTCTAAAACCCCGTGTTCATCTTTAAGCACAACTTAAAAGTCAAATGTCTTGATCACCGTATTTGGTTAGTGGCATGTATTTGCGGGGTAGCAGATCTAGATAAGGCTAGCCTTTTACCATTCTGGGACGGTTATGACTAGAGTGGGACAGAAATGCAGTACACGACAGTCGTTGATTGGTTGGTAACATGCACCCTCGATTCAGCACATGTGAATGGGTTCTATCAGTGATACAAAGTATACTGATGGTGGTGCAACTGTAGTGTTCCGTTATCTTATCTTATTTAGATGAAATATACTTAGCAGCCAGGTGTAAGATCGTCATAGAATATTGTAATTCAGTAAGACAACCCCCCGGGAGCGGGTTCTAACTTTTAACGTCCGGTTTCCCATAATCCTCCTATTCAAGAAGGCCAGATTTACATAAAAGTTTCGATAGTCCCAGAAGCATGGAAGACTCTCCTTGGTAGCGAAAATATCTAGGCATTGTTTCATGCAACAGCTCATGAATACAGTTGGCATGGCTACTAAGAAGCGCTCCTAGCGCTTCTCCAACATTTCATGTCTCGTTGTGCAGATGTAATATTTGGTGTTATGCATCTTTGATGAGAACTTCAATTCTATGCAGTAAGCTAAGCGCTGCTTTAAGATAGAAGATGTTCCATAAGGCTATACCTTATAGGATTTCAAGATACTTCCCACTCCTAACCATATTATCGAGAGGTTACCGTTCATCATCATAGAAGGTTAGTGGAAGTATCAAACATATACTTACTAATTTGAACCCGTGAAATTTTCAGAGATTGTGGTTGTATTGAAACTAACTAGCGATGGTTTTATATCTCTTAAAGCTCTCAATAAACTCACTAGTATATATAGCACTATAAATAGCGGACGTGACTTCAATACAACTTGCCTGGTTTCCTTTCGTTCTTGCCAAATTCTAATAGCATAAAGCCCATGAGCCGAATCAAGGGGTTTTCCTATATGAAAAGTATATGTAGTAATATCTCGTGTGTGCACATCGTGTAAGTAACAATATGAAGGGATCATTGTATCTAACTATGCGTTAAGCTCAAGATCTCTATCTGCTAGGTGGTGCTCTTAAGGGAAAGAATGCCCTGGCTACTCATGTAGAGCTCCCCTAAAGCTAATTGCTGGCCACTGAAAATACAATAACAGCATATTATTCTTCTAAAGATGTGGTGCCTGGCAGATTAGCTTATCGTCCCGATGCGGGAATCCCCAGCTTTCCCCGCATTTTGGCTTTCGGAGACTCGGTCTTTGCCATCGAGTCCTCATGCGTCGTACAAATTACTCCAATCTTTTTATATCCCCTTGGGTCATTCTTTCGGGGTTCTGATAGTGGCTCGGACGGTGCAAATTCGTTCGCTGCTCCGACCGTGTCGATCGTTGCCCTGTCATGGAGTGATTGCATCATCAGGTGCTTACTGTTCAGCTGTTTACCCATCCCCGACCTTACACCTCCACCTCCGCTCCTCTTCCACCTCCATCCATCACTGCTGCTTGATGGATAGCTCCCCCCATCCAATCCATCATCACCTATCTTTCGTCTGATATCTTTATACATTACCTGTCGGTTGACTGCCTTGAATCAGCCGCAATGCGCCCATCCCTTGCGGTGCTGGCAGCCGCCCTTCAGGCGACCGTCGGCATTGCATCCACCTTGACGCCGCCCGTTCTCCCTCTGATCGTCCGGAATCCCTATCTGAGCACCTGGTTTGGAAACGCCAGAGATGAACCCTGGACCAAATGGCCCATGTTCTACACTGGCGAGGAGGTGGGCCTCTCTCTGATGGCTCATGTCCCTAGCACAGGCACCGTGTATCCATTGTTGGGCAAGCCTCACGAATCCCTGCCTGGGTAGGCACTCGCACAGCATCATCACCATCCACGACCGTCCCAACTAATAAATGCTGCTAGGTCACAAATTGATTTCCCGACATACCTTGGAGCCAACTACGACGCATCTACCACCAATCTGACCTACCGCATTGATCCCTCCACCTCTGCTTCCCATCCCCTGGAGATCACCCTCTCCTTCTTGTCTCCCATCACTCCTACATCGACTCTGCGGCAGTCGATTCCCGCATCATATGTCACAGTTCATGTCCACGGTGAAGTAAGCGTGAATGTCTATATGGACATCAATGGAGGCTGGGTGAGCGGTGACACCCGGAGTCATATCTCTTGGCAGTATGACGCGTTCGATGAGAAAGACAATAAACCGGCTTTGCGGAGATGGCGATACCAGAGACAGTCTGAGCTGCTGTTTTCGGAAATCCGCGATCGCGCCGAATGGGGCACTCTTCACTTCACCGCGCCCGCCGTATGTAAATCTGTCGGTAGTGTCACTCTGCTCGTTGCTGACCCGAGCATCTAGGATGTCCACTTTCAGTCTGGCGAGGCGTCGGCCGTAAGGAAAACGTTTTTGACTCAAGGAGTCCTGGACAACGTCAACGATGAAGTCTTCCGTGCCATTGGAGACCGAGAGCCGGTCTTTGCTTTCTCCAAGTCATTCGTTCTCAACCGGAAATCGGGGCCGACCAGCGCCAGCCTAACCTTTAGCATTGCCTTGATCCATGATCCTGTTGTCCAATATGCCTCTGCACGTGGTTTGACTCTAATGCGACCTCTGTGGGAGTCATGGTTCCCTAGCGTCGACGCGCTCCTGAACTTCCACTACCACGATTTCTCCCAGGCGAGTGCGCTGGCCTCCAACTACTCGGAACAGTTAGCCAAGGATGCATATCAGTCGGGCGCACACGACTATGTTGACATTGTCGCACTCTCTGCCCGACAGGTCATGGGGGCAACTACCTTCTCTGGGACGCCTGAAAACCCGATCTTGTTTCTGAAAGAGATATCATCCAACGGAAACTTCCAGACGATCGATGTCATCTTCCCTGCCTTCCCGTTCTTCTTGTACACTAACCCGCGGTGGTTGGCCTACCTTCTGGAGCCATTGATCGAGCACATGTTGAGTGGACAATATCCAAACACGTACGCCATGCATGACTTAGGAACTCACTTCCCGAATGCCACTGGACATCCCGATGGAAACGACGAGTACATGCCAGTGGAGGAATGTGGTAATATCCTCATCATGGGCTTGGCCATTGTGAACTCGCTGCGTTATTCGGAAGATTCTGCTGCGTCATCCATCTGGTCAACACAAGGCGAGAGCCCTGTACTTTCGGACGATCATCCTGGGTACTTTCCTCTTGCAAATCTCCAGGCACATGGGGGTATTGATAAGCAGGATGGACGCTGGGGTGGTGGTATACAAGGCCAACGTGAGGCGGAGAGATGGCTCCAGCGCAGCTATCGTCTTTGGAAACAGTGGACTGGCTACTTGGTCGAATTCTCGCTGGAGCCCGAGAATCAGCGTAACGTGTCACCTAAGAGGACTTCATGGCAATAGCTGACTCTCAGATAGTTTCGACGGACGATTTCGCCGGCTGGCTTGCGCTTCAAACGAACTTGGCACTCAAAGGTATTGTTGGCATCAATGCCATGAGCAAGCTAGCTGAGGTGGTTGGTAATGATGAAGACACCTCTTACTACAAGGTAAGCTTGCACGGTCAAATATGCAAAGCGCATCTCTCACCATTCATCGCAGGATATCGCAGATAGGTACATTGCCAAGTGGGAGGAGTTGGGCATGTCTCGAGACCAGACACACGCGAAGCTCGCTTACGACTGGTACGGATCGTGGACCACCATCTACAATCTGTACGCCGATGCACTGCTGTGCTTCCATCTGGAGGGCACCGATATCTCTCCACACGCCACGTCTGGCTCCAAACAGAGACCTCTCCATCCACACCCTCCTCACCCGCACAAGACGGGCTTCGTACCCCGGCACATCTACCAGAGACAGTCGATTTGGTACCACAATGTGCGTCAGAAGTATGGCCTCCCTCTAGACAGCAGGCACTTGTATACCAAGACCGACTGGGAGTTCTTCTCCATGGCTGTTGCCAGCGAGAACGTTCGCAGCGAGGTTCTCGAATCCGTCGCCAAATGGGTCAATGAGACGGTCACCGACCTTCCGTTCACCGATCTCCACAACACGGAAGGCAAGGGCGAATTCCCTGGGCCGAACTTTTACGCTCGGCCGGTAATCGGCGGCCACTTCGCGTTCCTGGCCCTTCAGCGCGCCTGTGGGGGCCGGGCGATGGATGGTCTAGCCTATCTAGACGAGGGGAACAACGTATTCTCGACCAGTACGCTGGCAGACTGGAAAAAGGCCGCAGCTAAGGCTGCCGAACAGTTCCAGGCCTCGTCTGAGCTGGAAGAGTCTGCTGACAACGAGTTTGGCTATGGATCTGAGAGTCTGGAACTCTGAGCATGAACGAATATATATATAGCAATCGTTTTGTCTGATCTGCAGTAACATCATGGAGTAGTTTCTATTCTCCTAGGAACATTTGTCTATAAAGATCTCTACTGGTTATGTTTGTTGAAGAGAAATTGAACGGAACAATGTTCCGCATCCCCTACACAACACAGCACCATATATATATTCTAGTAAGATACTCGCACTTCATCGCACTGGTAGCAGTAAGTATTACTATATTTATTAGGCTATCTATCTACTATGATCCTGATATCCAAACAACAACATAGTGGTAAACGGATCCTCGAGTCACAAGAGTAGATCACAAGCAACTTGAACCCGATACGTCTCTGTGTGGGCGAAGCTGCTGACCTGCTACGTACGCCTGAACGTATAGTATACCTCAGCCACCAAGTATCGCTGAGACCGTGTTAACGAATCCTACAAATTCTGACAAATACGAACAACTTTGTTTTGAATCCAAGTATAGGCGCGGCTGTTATTACGAATAAGTTACTACTATAATCATTAAGGTGGTAGGTAGTAATGGGTTAACCGAATGGGCTCAGCTGAGCAACATTGAACTATATATGTGTCGATATTATTATAATTATTACATGCTCAGCTGCTCAGCTGCTCGTTCTCTGTTGCGAAGGTAGTATCCCCAACCATGATCGACGAAGGCTGAGTTGTGGAATCATCTGCCTACTCGAGTTATCCATTTTCTAAGTTATAACTGTATGAAACGAGATGAGAATGTGTTAATTGTAGGATTTCGAGAGTTGCGGGCAAAGGATATTCAAGGTCCCCGAGTCATGGACATCCACAGACACTCTATAGAATAAAGAAGGCGACCACTAGCTAGCATAGAGTTCTGTCATATCATAAGATTTTGCCTTGTCGTGTGGTTCGACAACGGTAGCATGCGCATCATATTTGTGGTGGTGGTATTGTGTGTAGCTGAAACGTACTGTAGAGGCTTTCAGTTGCAGTGCGGCCAACTGCCTGAGCTGGAACTGTCACATGGCAACCAGCCAAAGGGGCCCGTGACCACAAGTTCACCAGAGGAGGTTGACTTTGAGACCAATATGTGGCACAATAGTATCCATGGACATGACTCGACAGCGAGTCCTGTGTGGTCTTCTTCTTTCCGCCCCCCACCAAATTCAAACCTACCAAATGCCGTAGAGTATTATTCTGTTTGGGACAATCATGCTAAATACTTCAATTGTAGCAAAGAGCCGTAGCTGGGACATATTAGAGACCGGCCCACTAGGACATGATCTGCAGATCTACAATGATCTCCGGTGCAGATATACGGTACGTGCGCCATGGTCGAGCCAGCCACGGACCAGGAAAGTGTCGAACTGCCCAAGTAGGAAGGGATCAGGAACGACTCTCCGCCGCGTCAAGGCTGATATTGAGTTTCTGGTTTGTGTCACAGTTGCATGGATGATGTACGGACGTATGTAAATGGGTTAGTCTGCATGAGAGAGAGGGTGTGTGCGCGTGGTCCGGCCACCCGGTTGGGTGAAGAGGTGGGTGTCCCGAGTAGGATGAAGAGGGGATCCGAGCCAGTCCAGTCACTCCGGCCGAAGAGAATGGCTGGTGGATGGCTAGGTTTCACGTCGTCCTGCACATTCCAACCAAAACAGTACATTAGAGTACCTCATCACGTCGCAGTGAAGCGTTGCAGAGCGATACACTACCTACTATCGCGGGTTGCTGGGGATGCAGAAGCTTGGACGTGGCTTATTGTGATGGTTCAGCCAGCAATCCCCATTCTGGGTTTGAATGCTCTATTTTCGGATTATGGAGACATCTAGGGTTTCGCGAATCTATAGTTGAAGAGCTGCCGAAAGATTCGGGAGGGTTCGCGAGAACTTCCGTGGTACAGTGCGGAGGGGACGTGGGGAAAAAGAGAACAGCCCCTGGAACAATATATTAGCTAATAATTAACGAGAGCCCAAGGAGCCCGAGAGTGCGACCAATAGTGGATTGGTGCCCAAGGAAATCAATAAAATGACGTCGATGAGAATGGACCACTTTGATAAGCAGCTGCGCGAGGACCGTCTCGCACACCTTCCTCCTGCCATGCTCCCCAGACAGCCACCACCGTTGGACCAGAACGGAAAGATGGTCGTGTCGCGCGCACGAGTCTCTGTGGGGTTGGTTCGCTGCTGAAAATCGCTTGCCCAGATAGGCCTACTTCTGCACGACTCCATAGGCCAAGGCCAGGAATGGGCCTTCAACGCCAACGCAATGCAATGCAATGCAACTCAAAATGGCGATATTGGTGGGCAGATTGATGAAATTGGCGGGTCTTCAGCCAATCGCGAGCCCTGAGTCTCTCCATTTATTGGGGGTGGTTTGGCAGAGAAAGGGAAAAAGTCGGGACGCAAGGGGCGGACAATGCAGCACTAGCAGAGCTGGGATTGCCCGATTGGGAAATCCCCCCCTACAGAACTCTCTCCACTCGCCCTCCAGTGAAAAGGAACCATAGCTGATAACTGTTGGCCGTGTCTTGCATGGATGCTGATGAAACAGGAATAGAACGAAGCACGGGAGGGCTGCGCAGCAGCTGAGACATGAATGGACCTTGTTCAGCGACATTCAGTGTTGATCCTGCTTCTTAATGCTCCGTGGACTTTCCTTGGGAGTTAATCAGGTTCTGGCCAATTATTCCAGTGGCTTCCCCGAGAAAGGTCGAGAAAAGAGGGAAGAAAGAAGAATCACGTCCCGAACGGTCGCACAGAAGACATTGTACTGGGCTGGTGTACCTGCAGCAGGTTGTTGACTGCTCCGTCGACCTTTCAGGAGGGCATGTAGAACAAAGTCCAATAAACACCAATCTACGCCGACCCAACCCACCATTCATTCAAGCCCTCGCTTACTTGATCCAGACCTGTACATACTGGCGCATTGTGACTGTCGAAGGCGTCATGAAAGAAGATGGAAAAATGGGAAGCAGTGCAGCTGCTTGCCAGAGCTTCAGATAAACGGGAATGTAGCCTCTAGGCTTAGGGAGGATATGGCTCAGTCGTGATAGATAACGGAGTACTCCATACCCAGAATGCTGCGACGAAGATCATCGATGTTCGATCGGGCAGAAGGGGTTTAGGATTGCTGAACCCAAACAGCTCCTTTACTTTGTCGAGTGACATTTTTAGCCAGGCCTCAAACCAGCCACGGAGACCTGTGGCTGTGCGAGTGGATGAAAGGCTTTGCTGTTGCAGGTCCAAGCAACCGAACAAGCCAGACGTTACCAATCTTTCTCTTATCGCTATTATTGTCGTCATGCAGATTTCATGTTATGTGGCCCTTTCTCTCTTTGTCTTCACTAGCCGGCTCACGGACGAGTATCGAACCCGGGCGCTGCAATTCTTGGACAATCTCAATAACTTCATGGCCAAACCTTGGCTGGAACTAGGGGATGTAGCCAGATAGGCAGATCACATATTTGAAATAACACCAAGTCTAGCCCTCGTCGCACCGGTGGCCAGAAGTGATGCTTTCACACGTTTGTAATTCAAGATCTAAGTTAGTCGACATCTGGAGTAGATCTGATCAAGTTTCCTTTGCAATGAGTTTCCCACAGGCTTTTCTTGGGTGGTAGGAAGCCACAATCGGCCAATTTTTCCGCATCTTCATCGGAGCGGACTGGATCTGGGTCCAATATATTGATCGGTGGGCAGAAAGATAATAAAGGGAGGGAATATCCAGGATCCGGCTGATCGTGGTCTTGGCAGCATCGTCAATGCAGTGGGTTCGAATCTCACCGCAGGAACCCTTTCGAAGATCTCAACGCCCTTGAATTGTCCGGTTAACTCCTTGCGACATACAGGCCCGTGCTGCAGGGGTTCGCCCTTGGGACGACGGAAAGCAGGATTTGGTGAGATTTGCGACGAAGAAACGCCGTGATCGCACAAGGACGGTTGACAAATATCCCAGAAGGCTCATATGATAATTACTTCTTCAACAAGAGTAGAGGAGTTTGACCAAACAACCACACCAAGATCGCGTGTCGAATAAACCGTAGTCTACCTCAACCCGGCGGTCAGTGTGCCTGTCCGCGGGTGCATGATAACAAGAGTTACTTAGCTCCTAGATACCCGCTCGGGGCCCGATTGATGATCTTAGCGTATTTCACCTATTGCCTATTTCTCTCATCAGGAAAACCTACTTCCAATGGACGGGATTAAAGTAACTGGTGATCAAAGTTCAATCGAAAATCCGGGGTTTGATCAAAGCGGGTGGTCATAGCTACATAATCTAAGTGGTAAGACAGCCACTTGACGTCAGCCGCTCCTTTGAGATGGAAGCAGTATAGTCGCCCAAGGTACACAATTCAGCAACGAATCAATTAGGCTGCTTAATTGACTGATGAATTGTGGCTCGCTGAGCTCGGGCCAGAACAGTCAAGGGAGGCCATTATTTTCGGAAGATTGTCTGTCCGTTCCATTTTGCTCACTCGGGATGTAGAACCAATCGCCCAGACACCGGACGATGCTGCTACAGGCTTAAAACCGGCAAGCCTGCAAGATTGCCTTTGTGCGGCTGAGTATAGGTTGCGACGCACGGTCTTTTGGTAGTCGTCAAGATCAGCGGTGCAGAGTGCTTGAATAAGTAAGTGAAGCCTTCGAGAACACCATGGACTTGGTGGATTGGGAAAGTGGAGGCTTCAACCAGCGGTGATATCCTTCGGTCGAGCCTGGAACGACGGCGGGAATGACAAGTCACAAGTGGCTAGGCAATAGCGGCTGTGGCTCAGTTCTTGCTTTGGGAGTGTGGCTCAGCAGCAGTAGGGAGTGTGAGAGACCAAGAATAGCGATCCGGCCAGGTCAGCGAGTGTATGCGGAGTACACGCTCCCATTAGATCCGCGATACTGCACAAATCCCGATATGTCCCAAAAGGACCCCTGTTGCTTTTGGACTAAGCTCATGATTCAATAGGCAAACCCTGATGACCGTAAGCCTCAGCTAAATACGAACTCTCAGTATAGTAAGAGCTAGTCTATCAATGAGCAGCCAAGCAGGGGAACTGTCAAACCCACCCACAGACATCATCCATTAGCGTCGCACCGGGTATAAACTTTGTTTCTTAGTGGCTTGATGAGAACCTATCCCCTTTGTCATTCAAGCTTCCTTTCTGGTCCTAGCGAGGGGCTCCGTGAAATATCGACAATGAGAGGGGTCAATGTGTTATCACTATCCATGTCACGAAAGATACTTTCACGCATGAGTGTACCTCTCATACACAGTGGTGTGGGCTCAGTAGTTAGTGGAGTTATGACCCGTTGACTAAGTACGATATTGGCAGGTAACGTTATGAGACTTGGTTGCAAGTCCCAACACACAGCATAGGCTAAGACATGGTATTTTCCTAGCTTGCCTCGAGTCAAGAATGTGTCATTGCGGTGGTTGATCAGGCGCATTACGTTGTCGACAACATCCGACCGCAATTCCAGACTGAAGGTACTACCATACATTTCATGGGGTGGTCGATTCAATGTATGGGCGATTGGTTTCTTGTAGACCACTGGAGGCCAGTTATTGTGAAGAGCCTTAGTACCTCACTTGAAGAAGAAAATGCTACAGACGAGCCTTTCAGAAAAAGCCGTCTCTTGTCAGCGACTTCATGAACTGTCCACGATGGCTCGGAAGTTATAAGCAATGGTAACGGTCGTCACTCAGCCCATCATCTGGATGAAGTATTCACGGCCAATGGTCTCAGGACAGTACCTTATCAGCCCAAAAGTACTAGGGAGGAGCAAAAACAACGTGTCCGACCGATTGACTTGTCCAGCTGGTGGTTCTTTTTTTTTTTTTCTTCGCATGGAAGCAACGGGGTTCATGCCCAGAGGTTCGAAGCATTGGCTGACGCGTGACGAGTCAGAAACTGCGCCGCCTCACCGGTGGGGAAAGCCATGACGAGGAAGAGTCAATGGAACCCCGAAAATCTCATTATGAAATGGCAGTTAAGCGATAGTAAGCAATACTCAGAAGTTCTCCCTGCTGGAACATCATTCGAGTCAGTCAATGACCATTGGGAATGGGGGAGGCAAAAGCGAGAAGAACCAGACCAGTCATGAGACGAGAGACAAGCACCTGGTGGGGGAGGTAAATAGCAGATTGGCAGGTATGTATGTATGTATGTATGTATGTAGACCGTGCCATACGCATCCGCTGAAAGACGTGGTACACACCTGAAAAGTCCACCCACCAGTCATGCTGGGGTTTGAGGTGATGGCGGCGATAAGGACGATCGAGGTATGACTCGGTGGGGGGTGGGGAGGGAAAGAAAGGACCTGGTGACGCTGTGAGGAAGACGTTGAGTGAGTGGCACAACTACTGGAACCGGCTAGAATGGAACCATATTGTGTGAGTGAGTAAGTAAGTGAGAGAGTGAGTGGTTTTTTCCCCCCTTCTACTTGGTTACTTACCAGTAACCACCGGTCGGTACCAGTAAAAACCAGGTACCTTACTAGTAGTACGTTTAGTTACCATCAAGATAGTTGTACCTAATCAACTGGTACATAATACTTAACTCTGAAGAGTTGTTGCAAGGTAACATACTATACGAGGTACATACTCGGTACCTTCCTAAGCCCAGCGATTGAGAGGTACTGGGTACAATCGGTGGATAGAAGAAGCACTCACTAACCAACCCCCACATTCCACGGTGACTGGTACAGGAGACTACTCTGCTACGTACATCTCAGAGGACCAGAAGGTACCAGTGACGGACCACTATAGGCCACAACCCAGGCCGGAGCGTTCCTGGGCAAAGGGCCCGAGTGGCTGTTGGCATCTGGCAAGGCTAGCGGGTTTCTGATAGGTTCGGCTGGCGCCCCCCACCCGGGGGGCTGAAGGCCGGATTTCAAACCTGCAGGATCCAGCCAGTGTCGACCGCCCACCCACTGGTCCAGGTGGATGATGTGCGTACAATCAGTGATCGTCGGCCAAAGCGCCTTTCGGCTGCTCTTCATGCCTCTTCCAGTCGATCCCAGAATGGACGGAAAATGGTGGAAGTTGAAAAGTACAGACGGGGCGTTGAATACGTGATCCGCTCCAGTTGTAACCTCCCCCCCAAGGTGGATAGGTACGCATCTCTTCTGCCTCGTTATTAATTCCCTAGGCCTCAACAATACAGTACCTGCCTGCTGCTAATCAACATAGCTGCCAGTCCCCAATGCAGTCTTTTTGCTGCACCATTCCGGTGGTGGTAATCGTACAACCAACCCTTATCTTATTATCATTGTTTTTTTTTTTTTTTTTTTTTTTTTTTTTTTTTTTTTTGTCTTTCTTTCTTTCATTCTCTCAAAAAAAAAATAAATCACAAAAAATACTCCTCTTGACTGGATTATGCTCCTCTAGCTGTGTAGTGGTCATACGTAGGTAGCCCACATTGAGGTAGTACGAAGCACTCGGTCGACACGGGACTTGAATGGATGCAGTCTACGGGCCAACATGATAGACCCTTGGTGGTACCTACACAAACCAGCTAAGTGGAGATCTTGGAAGAACAAGGAATCTCTTACCTCTCATGAATTCGCTCGTATCCTTAGTCCTGTCACTTCGGATCCCAAACTACTTCCCCGCGGTATGGAGGCCATGTTTGATCGGCTACTTTCCCGTGGCAATCACTTATCTAGTGCGTGGCCAACTGGTATATCGCCATTCTTACTTCATGCTCGAGTTTGGCCGGGTTTGGAATCAAGATGTGGCCTGTCTGGCAGTCTGCAGTCGGAAACCATAGGAGATCAGGGCTCGTCTGCAATCCAGCCCGGGTTTGCACAGACCAGAATCTAGCAAACGGTGAATGCCAGTGAATTGTTGATCTGGGCATAAAACAGCCCTTCAGAACAGCGGATGCTGGCTCGGACCATGGGACCATAGAAAATCCCCACGGTGGGCACTCCCGCGCGGGCAGTACCTGACCCAACGGACAGTCATCTCTGGAAGCCCCAAACTACGTTGCTTCTGCGTAGGGGTTTGCATACGATAATCGTAAGTATAGTAGCGGTGTTGGCTCGGACTGTGGCTGGCTCTGTCTGCCCTCTTTTCCTCTTCCACTTTTAACTCTTCTTCAATTTACCTTCCTTTGATTCTCTGGAAATGTCCGTAAATTGATGGGGAACTATTGTCATGCGTGTTGCCCTTTTCGGGCAAAGTTCACCAGATCTCGGTTGAGGTGGAACCATTAATTTCGACGGTCTGAACGTTCCTGATGGATGGCTAAAGGGCCTTTGAGTTAGTGTAGATATGCGATTATCAGCCTCCGATTCCAACAATGAACGCACTGGCCGAAGCTGGCCTAGACGGTGGCGTTGAAACCAAAAGGCGGGCGATCGGTGATAGTTATGGAACCTGTGGCGTAAGAAATGCACCTGAGCCGTGCCCCATACATGCCCATTGGTGCTAGTAAGGCTGGCATGGTGTAGATCCAAGAAGATTCGAGCAATAGAAAGAAGGTAGCATCGTTAATGTTTCGTGTAGTATTCGTAGTTGGTGGTGGTGGTGGTGATGATGATGATGTTGATGATGATGTTGTGAATGACGGCGGTGGTGGGTTTGTTTTACCCGTTACCGACCTACCAGATCGCTGTGTTGGTGACTGTTCCGCTTCATTTCTTTTTGTTGCATAATTGTGTCTGGTAATTAGTATGCGTACATGTTTCATTGCCGAAGCGAAACCTCCAGTCGCTCCACATGGAGGTTCAGCGATGCCGATCATTCAGGGTCTTTGCGGTGCAATGACCGTGGGACAGACCACCCCCCGAAGGAATCAATCGTACGACGACGCTGCTGGAGGAGGAATGGGGAAAAGATGAAATGACCTGGTATCTGCCGGTGTTTTACTTTCGATAGCCTACTTGCAGCCATCCCGAGCCAGCAGCTGGCCAGAGTAACTTTGCGGTGGGTTCTTCTGCCCGGGGAAGATCCCGAGATTCTGGACGAGCTGGTAATTACAATGATGTTGATCCAATTCCATGATCCGCGTTAAGGTTTAGTTAATCCCCCATGGCCCGCCTGGCCCCAGTGATGTTTCGCTGTGCGCTGACATTCGAACATTCCATCGGCGGTTCTCCTCCATCTGCGTCTCATGCATTCATTCCTTTTTCTTTTTCTGGTTTGGGAGGAAAGACAAAAGTGACGCTGTGGATATTCTCCCTCCCAGGAACAGTTTCGGGACTCAAAAGAAATTATGATCGGATTGGCGGGTTGCATTTGGTGGTATTCAACGCACGTACAGTAGGTTGGTTGGTGGGTAGACCGGAGTAGTAGCAGGAGGAATAGTAGTAGGGACTAAGTTCTACTCACTACTTACTCCTCTTCTTTCTCTTTCCCTTTCTGAACCATGGTAGGACAGGTTGTATGTATTCATTTGGTATCATTATCTTATTTCCCTTCTAAACTCGTCTCCCAATACTTCTGGAAGAAGATCATGGAAGGGCTCCTTTGGACTATAGACTAATTCCAATTAGATGGGTTGGAAGGGATCTCGTAGAATGAAAGAAGATTCGTCCATACGCTCACTTGATCTGGAAAGAAGGGGCCAATGAATTCCAATTTGTTCAATACTACTAGGCAGAGAGGGGAATCTTGACAACCACTTGCTTGAAACTAGTAGGAAACGATATTGGGTGTATTGGCGATAGCTTTGGGATACCTACTTAGCTGGTACCCTCTTACTTGCTTTCCCAAGCAATAATCCTCAATGATAAGAAGGTTGAACAGGGAATCTGATTAAAAAATCCGAGGCGATCAATAAGGTGGATTTTCCTTCGAGGTAGATCGACGTTAGTGGATTAAAAGAAGAAAAAATGAATTAAATATAGACCTAGAAGTAGAAAGGGAAAGGGCAAAAAATAAAAATAACACGTAGTAAATTCCAGGAAAATAAAAATAAGAAAGAAGGGTAAAAGAAGAAAAAAAATAAAAAATTAAATCGACGAAAAGAAAATGACTGGAGGTGAGGGATGAAAACTGGAAATCAAAAATCCAAAATGAAATAGAATAAAATAAAATAAAAAAGAAGACTTAGCTGGGAAAAGGTTCCTCACACACCCTCCGAGCCTGCTTCTTCGCCCGAAACAGTAAATCGACGATAGACTCACCAGAATGGGATTTAACATTTAACCTCCCACGGACTCCCCAGAATCTCCCCTGTGAACAACCCCGCCAGGAAAAGCTTCAGCCTTGGAAATCATCATCCCCATTACCATCCCCAGTGCAATATTAGACAAAATTTACGCTTTCCATCTAATAATCCTAAGACATCCTTCCTTCCTACTTGCGTCCTCCACCCAATTGTATCCAGATCCCCTTGCTGGACCAGCCTGCCTTTCCTATAACTACATCCCTCCGCTGCAACTGAGACATCCTTTCTCTTTCTTTCATTGATTCAGACTGTTCCGCCTTGGGAAAGACAGGGAAGACCAAGCAAACCGCGTCGCAGGGCGGCTTATCGATTGTCTCCTCTCCATTTATCGCCATCGCCTTGATCTCGAACCGCACACGCCCTCTTCCTCCTCCACGCCCCCCTTCTCGAGCTATTCCTACAACGAACCACAAAGCAACCGCGTCTTGTCTTTTAATCCAGAGACAGTCGCGCCTCCTAGGAAACGCTTTCTACGAGGCTCCAGTCCAACCAGAACTCTCCATCTTGGACAATTGCCCCCCCTCTTCGTCTCTTCGCCCAACGGGGATTCGCCGCGGTTACTCCAGGAACTCTATAGTCTACATTCCTGGCCTTGCGTACTAGACCACCATAGGAACGCGACGCGCCTCTCTCTTTTTTCACTTGACTCGGTCCTTTGCTCGCCCTCTCCTTTGGGGAACTACTAGGTAATGGCTTCTGGCTGTAAGTGCGATCGACCCTTTCCTGCCTTCCCTGATATATGGCCGGGAGATTTGTTTATTTCACCTCGTCCGTCCCTCCTCCATTCCCCAACCTCGACTTCAACTTCACACTCCCATCCTTTCCTCTCTCTCTCTTTTTTACTTGCTTCCCCTCTGCAGAGGCGACTTTCCCTTCATTCTTTCCCTGCTTTGTCTGCTACATCCTCCGTCTGTCGTTCGCATTCTTACCTTCACTGTCCCTCAGTGCCTCTCTCTTGTCATCACTGGTCCCTCGCTGCACCTGCATTGCTCCACTGTCTCTCACTTGTATACCGCCGCCGTTGCGCCTTGCCACATTCCCTCATATACTAATAATACACTGCACCCTCCTTGTGTCATACATTATCTTGTACACCCGCATACCGCACCTTCAAAACTCTCTTTAATCTCATCCCCCTTCACAAGAACCGAAGTCGTTGCACCTGCACAGCTCCCCTACATAGTACCAATACTACCCACAGACACTAAATTATACCCTGCACAGGTGGAAGAGTCGAAGTTCCTTCCGCACCCTCTCGAAAGGATCATCTCGTTGAAGACACCGAAGATATGAGATCCCAGGGTAACATGTCTGACCGACTGACCATCGAAGTCGACTGTACCTCCCTGGGTTCCAACGAGTGCCCATCCATGGCTTCCAGCTTCTCGCCCATGGAATCACCTACGCCCACTCCAACAAGTGTGTACAGCCAAGGCTCTCTGGCTTCACCCACCTGGCACGAAGGGGCCTCGTACCCGGGACAAGGCTATGAAAGGCACACCGGAACCACGCCCATGCGCAGCGCCTTTCGACTGGCCAGCATGACGTCAAACGATAGTATGGGAATGTCCTATGGACAAATGGAGGCACAAGAACGGATGCCAATGACCGACTTTCTCTCAGGATATGATGAGAACGTTGAACATTTCTGGATCCCCCAAGAGGCGCAGAAAGCCTACGAGCATGGCGTCCCTGGACTCCCATACCCTCAGGCAATGCCTCAGTATCCCACTATGGGCCGGAACAGCTACCGACAGCACGCGGCACCCTACCTGCCCGAATCCGCTACAAACCCCTGTCTGTCGCGGTCGATCTTCCATCAGCCTGAAAGGGTCCCCAACTCAATGTCCATGGGCAATGTGATACCTTGGATGGCCCCGCCGGCGGACTCAATTGCCCCGCAAACTATTGCTCCGTCGCAGGTCGCCCCAGTCACCCCCCCGCCGTCATACTCGGAATTTTCGAACTCGATCAATACCTTCAAGACACACAGCCCGACCACTCCAGTGCGTTCTTGCTCCCTGGGGACTACTTCTGGGACGGATACTCCCATGAGCCGCCTCTCGGGTGGCATGGATTACCTGGATGACTTCAACCAATCACCAGTTTATCGCGATGGTCTCGCTCGAGTCCAGCGCCAGCCCTCCCGGAAAGTTGCTCGGAAGCAGTCGTCTAAGCAGAGCCTGAGCCTGGAGAACCTTCCGTCTATTATCAAGCAAGTCCAGTTTAAGTGCAAGGAGCCTGGTTGCAAGGGTCGCTTCAAGAGGCAAGAGCATCTGAAACGACACATGAAGAGCCACTCGAAGGAGAAGCCGCATGTATGCTGGGTTCCTGGCTGCGAACGGGCTTTCTCGCGCAGTGACAACCTGAACGCGCATTACACGAAGACCCACAGTAAGCGCGGCGGCCGCAATCGCTATGTCGCGACATTGGACGAGAACAGCCCAGACTACAACCCTGAATATCGCGGCCAATTGACCCCTGACGGGCGACCAGTCTACAACTCCAAGTCCCAAGATCTCATGGCCGATGCTCGTGAAACGAGCGAGGAGGCGTGGTTGGAGTGAACGGATATAGAGTTTAATACGGGAAGGACCGAAACATGATACCCTTGGGCACCTGAGTTGCCCGTTCCCTTTTGGGTCATTAGATGGGCACAGACACAGGGCCCGACAGACCCCGGTCGGCGCTTCACGGCGTTCTTTGTAAAACATTTTCTGGCTATATACACCGGACGATTTCCTTTGTTAATTCGAATGTTGCATACCTTTCCTTTGTGTTTTCCTTGACGATCTTATATTTTTTCCCCCACCCATCTGGGCCCCAATATCTCTTATGCTTTGGAGAGGCACTTTCCATTTGGCTTCTTTCTCTTTCTCTTTTCTTTTTTACTTTTCTTTTTCTTCTAAAAACAAAACCTACCATTGGATAATAATGCGTTGAGATGGATAGGCTAAAACGGCATGGAAGGGAATGGTTTGTACACGATGGGAGTGACCTGACTGCGTTCTTTTCAATCTGATTGGTCTTATCCACTACTGAACACTATACGAGATACCTAACCAGTAATATGAATCCAAACAATTACATGACTTGAACCATTCTGGAATAAACTGGGAAGCCTGGAAAAGAAGAAACAAGGAAGTCCGCTGACTAGTCTTCTGTTGGGTCTGCTGGGGTTCCGCTCTCTGGGGGGGTATGGTCTTTTCCAGAGCGACCTATTTTTGTCGGGTATCTGATGGGTCAGGTTTACGGAGGGGAGACAGATGGTGCTACGAGGCCTAGCGTGGCTTTGGAGATCCAACAGTGCGATGGAGCTGGAACGTATCACACTTCCTTCCCGGGAGTGCCGTCTCTCAATCCCATGGATGGGGTTTGGGGGGCCGCGGCCAAGGAAAGGGAAGGAAACGATTACTCATCTACCATTACGAATGAACTAATTCAGCTAACAACTTACTTTTACTGTAATTAGAAGTTAGTGTTTCCCTCGCGCGGACTGACAGGACGAGTAGTAGCGGGAAAGAGGAGGGGGGGGGAGGGGGCGGAAGAGACTCTAGAGAGCGCTTCTGGTTGGTAGTAGTAGTAGTTAGTAGGGGACGAAGCGGATGGATGTATCTCAAGTCAGGCAGACGGGCTATGATTAGGGACTAAAGTAGGTACATACATGCATTAGCTTTTCGTCTCTTCTTTTCCCCCGTCGATCTTCTCCCCCCACCCAGTCCCACATTCCAGGAGCCTGGCATTATCCCTATTGGCGGCAATCCTACCGCTCGGTCAACTGGCCCCATGGTGCGTATCTAGTAAGTACAGTACTACTAGTAAGTTAGTAGTATCTATCCATGGATGATCACGGCTGACGCTTCCTCGCGGTCTCCATCGATCTAGTATCTATCGACTGACACCCTATATGGATCTTTCCCCTCATGCCCACATGAATCTGAAGCAGCAGCTCAGCTGCTCAACTGAGTGAATCATCGACTAAGTTTCGATTAACCACGTACTTCTACTTAGGACGCATGTCCTGGCCATAGTACCTGTATTACTGGGGATGGATTGCTCTCCACTAGGAATTCCGGCAACCGGGATGCCACCTGAGCCTAAGGATTTAGGAACAATAATTCCCCACATGCCAGGTCCCGTGAATGGTTACGAGGAAGAAGCCCGTGAGTCTGTTGGAAGTACTCTAGCTTGGCTTGTGCCTCTTCGCCATTCCGCCCTTCCCTTCCCGTGGAATGACTCGATATTCAACATCTATTCTTAACTAGTCCACCACTAAGATATGGAGTAGATACTTCGTTGGTTACCCAGGATGTTGAAGCCTTCTCGGATAACTCAATGAGGCTCACCGCTCATCGACGGCTTTCCCCGTTATGTCTCGAGATCTCCCCTTCTCCTACTGTCTTACATGCAGAGGAAATGAGTGCTCATTCCCCGTCACACGATAGCATCATTACTTTGCCGATCTTGCAAGTATGTCCACATTGAAAATTCTGTTTCGCTGTTACCAAAGCTAGGACCAGATCAGGCCACCGTCTTATCAGGCTAGATGACCTCCAAGCACTCATCGTCGAAGTGTCAGCTGTTGGCGACGATTAACATTGCAGTGGCATTCGATCAAATCATCTTCCTTTCATGCAGGACACTTCTGTCTCCAAAGGTAGGTAGGTTGCATTGTCATGGTGGATCTGCTCCAGCTTCCCCACCTCGACTAATTTTACATTTGGTGTTCAGCCGGCCTGGACAGACTGGGTCTCACAGTCTTTGACTCCGAGGTAGTACAAGCTAAGGCGGGAACCTGTAGCACAGAACGCGAGACGAGGTTGGCTTGCTCAGCTATTCTCTGCGTTACTCATATACTTCACACGCACACTAAACTACGTGTATGGTTCCCACAAGCGTGCATCTGGACGTCTGGCCGACCCATTTGCTATGAGAAGCTGTCGGCTTCGTTTCTACGCGCGAGTTGGAAGAGGAATAGGTTTTACTGTTGGTGATTTGCAGCATGAACGTAGACCGCCTCACGCGTTCTCGGACTACCGGCATGGCCAGTTGAGCACTTGTACTACATTCCTGCTAGCCGATGTATTCTGGTACAGGATCCAACAAATCAACAGAAGTAGCGTCGTTGGCCAACCTACGGTGACCAAGCCTAGGAGTTCTGTCTTTGCAGCCTTCCATTTTCCGACTGCCGATTGTCTCGTTGGTTGAGCACGATCGCCAGCAGCGGTAAGCTTTACCTCCGCACTGACCTTCTAGAGTACATCTGGAATGTGAACACGTCTCGACTCTGTGGACCTCGAAGAATCGTCGCAGAATGAGACTCTACGGTATACCACTTCACAGTCTAGATCGCTGTCCCGAAGTACCAAAAAAAGCACGCATCTATAGCCTTATCTCGGCATGAATGCTCTACGGCAGCGTTACCTTGTACCTTCTCCTTTCCATTCCATGCATTTATCTTGCAGTACGCCTCATTTTTCTCTCGAAAATCCGCAGATCAAACAAACATCCCCCACGAATGCCATTTCACGAGAAACTTCAGCCTCGAAACGCCATGTCTCCTACCCAACGTGCTGAGTCCAGGCACCCGCAGAACAGCACAAACGGCAAGACCATCCGAAGTAGCAGTGCATGCTAACTACTACCATCAAATACCACCCTAACCTCTCTCAACTCAACAGAGTGGACTCGAGCCGCGAGTGACCACCCAGCCTTAGTTTACAAGTTGGAACAGCACAGCGGACAGCAGTTCCGATGCCACTAATGCAATGCAGGCAGACACTTACGAACTACAGATCTTGCCTCCAATCTGTAAACCCAGGTAAGCATAATACTTCCGACAATCACCACGTATTGTGTGATCAGGTCCATAGGTGCTACAAGTACAACACCTACAGGCCGATCGTCTGAGTCTCTCACCGGCTTCTGAATCAACAATAGTTAGTTAATTCTCTCAAGCCTGCATGCCCGTTTTTTCAGCAGCCCAGCACAACACGTCTAAATTTACACAATGGCATTCATAGTATGTGCGACCCCGGTACGCAGCCACACATCGCTGGGATCCCGGGATCGTCCCATTCCCTACTTCTTCCAGAATGACCCAAATAAACTTTTGACACCCACTGAAACGGTTACACTATTGTCTGTATGTGATATCACATGTAGATTGCTCCTATTGATCAGTGCCTGCATGAATCTATCTTCTTAGCATGGCAATAGGGAAATTGTTTCCGCGGAAAATCTTCCATGTTCGAAACCTCATGGGCTGGATTCTGGTTGCACACGCCGGGCACAGACCTTTTGGTCTGGAGCACACAGTATACTCTGCCACAATAGTTCAACTTGCGTGGAGCAATCTCTCAGCTGAGGGGATAGTAAATCCAAAACAACCCCGTTATTCATCATTGTTAAGAAGGTGACTCGAGCGATCGCTTGACTCTGGTCCTTCAATCTACTGTTCTGGCCTGGCACACTACGCGGCGAGGCAGGCACACAGGCACAACTATGACTGCACAAATAACCTTACTAACCAATTCATGGTCCAGCTTCTCCTGCTTACATAACATCACCACATAAATACTTCTCCCCAGCAAAAAATCTTCACCGTTTCTCTTTCCTCCTCATGCAGATGCTGTTCCTCAACAAATCGAGGTGGCTGGCAACCCAAAATGCCTTGGAAGATGATGTTCTTGAACAGGCTTGGGACCTGATGATCTGCGGATATAGTATACGCCGACCTTGATATGCGAGGAGGAATTCTTGGAAGCGCATGGCTAATAGCTTGGTTATGGGCAAGCTTTTGACAAAACTTGGAAATTTTACCCGGTTATCTTTTTTGCTTCGATTCGCATTGTCTCTTCTACTATGATGACTTTCCTTCTTTTGGCATGATGCAGATGATCTGCGCTGAGTGCAACAAAAAATTATCAAGCTCAACAGTCTGAGTTAGAGACATGCTTCTATTGTTTGCTTAGTTATGTCTAGTAACTATTGAAGGAATGAACTTATATAACTAAATAATCTCTGTCTTAATCAAGTCTATACCCCAACCTTCTTTTTCCCATTTGCTCAAACCCGACATGCAAAAGAATTAAATCATGATACAACCCCCCTCCCATCCTTCCCCAATATCCCGTACAGTAGAATAAGAAAATAAGATCTACACCTCCCCAAAATCCAACCCCAAAAACACCGTCTCCTCCACCAAAGGCGTCTCATAATACGGCCCAACCTCCACAAACCCCAAACTGCGATACAGGCGAATCGGCCCTTCCATACTCCGCAACGTATCGAGTCTCATCCCCCGATACCCTAATTCCCTCGCCCTCGTCACAATCGCACTCACTAACGCCCGCCCCAGTCCCATCTTCCGCGCTTCAGGTGCAACATACAGCCGCTTGACCTCGCAGAGTTGCTGCCGCTCATCGTCTTTGACTGGGAGCGGACGGAGAGCCACGCAGCCCAGCGGAGAGGAAGAGGGGTCTGCGCTGCTGCTGTATGCGAGGAGAAGGTCACCACCTTCCTGGGGACTGTATTTCCCGGGGAGAGAGGATAGCTCGGCCTGGAAGTTTTGGAAGGTTAGGTCGATGTTCAGCCAGGTGGCGTAGGCTGTGAAGAGGGCGCGGGCGGCGAGGAGGTGGTGGGGGGTTGTGGCGGGGATTATTTGGTAAGTTTGGGGCATTTTGATTCCTTTTTTTTTTGGGTGTAGATGTAGATATTTGTAGAATTCTTTTGAAAGATGGGCGGCAGGATTTTGCGGGGTGGGTTGGAGTATAGTGATTCTTCACGATCCTCCTATCCCTGCGAGCTTGCTGGAGTGGATAATTGGGGTGTATAAGTATGTATGTAGGCTTGAGTGTATATGTACTCGTCGGACATGCTCAGTTTTTCTTATGGAAGAACGCTGATATAGTTGCTTCAGTCTCTTGACTCAGTCATTTTCTGGATGTCAATCCCAATTGGGAAAAGGGCGCGATGTTGACTTAATCGGGTATGGTGTTGATACCTCAGGCTACAAGTTTGTTTTATCTTGTCGGTATGAGCGGTTATCTCTCTTCCTCTTGTCTTTCATCGTTCTTTGCCTCAACATTCAGTGTTTGGATCGAGGACTGCTTATTAAGAGGTGATTGATATTATGCACTGGCAATCCTACGAGATTGCATTCGTGATAGAGATACGCATTTTGCGTTATCTTGTCAACTGTCAAGTCATCAGTGCTCGTTAGACTAACTACGGAGTAGATAGCATGAGCCAAGACATCCTTCGCCTTCAACAATGACATTTTTAATCAAGTGCTAGAATGACCGACTGGGATGCTATCGCTTAGTACTTGTCGCTGAAAGAATGCGAAATTGCTGGTGGCACGAACCTCGAGCCACAAGCATCACTGCCTATACTATCCCTCTCCCTATACACCCGGCTTGTGTCGGATAATAGGCTGCTGCAGGAACAGGTCGGACATTCTTGCCTGTTCCTCATTCATCCATCCTTTTCTTCATGAATTGGCTTGCCTCTAATCCTTGTCGTCAACATCAGCCAACACCAGCACCGGCTATGCCATTCGCCCATTGCTGACGGGTTGCCCGGTTCCTGAAATTAATCCATCCTCCGGTCCTGCAGATCACTCCTCCCAGAGCGAATCAAAATTTACCTCAAGTCAAAAGCAAGAACAACTTCTGATACGCAGCTTGAAAGCTGATTGCCTCGCTCTTGGTTAAATTGGCTGGTCTGCTCGCTCTACCCACTCTTCGGCCTAACCTCCGATGGCGCCCCGACGGCTCATCCTCCAGACCGACTGCAGACCACCGCTACACCGGTCAATTGGCCAATTCGGCAGCTCATCGTCAGTGGAGGTGCGGGTCCTCACGGCGTCCTCCGCTATCCTAAGGCTGCTTTTCTAATCGATTGCGGCAAATCAGCTCGTCCTTATCAGGGCATGTGCTATCTTCAACTTTCGGTGGCTGATTTCCCCGCTACCCACATGCGGTGGCCTGGTCGCTAGTCGGACAACCGACGCGGAGTATGGGCAAGTAACTGGCGTTACACGCTACCAAGGTATAAATTGGGTCAATTGCACCCGGCTTTCCCGATAGTCATTCAGCCATTGAGTTCTCCTTCACGAAGTTAACGATCGGTTATTACGCATAATGTCTTTCCTTCCTTCTGTGGGCATGCTCGCCCTGGGCGCAATGCAGCTCAGCTCTGGTGCGCTGGCTACCATTGACACTTGCCCTTCTGACAGCCCTCTGAGCTGCCAGACCGACAACAAAGCTTCCTGCTGCTTCAACTCTCCTGGAGGCTCCCTTCTCCAGACTCAATTCTGGGACTACGACCCTTCCGATGGCCCGAGCGACTCTTGGACCATCCACGGACTTTGGTAGGACTGACACCTCGGATTTCTGTATCATCGCTAATGGACTTGCTAGGCCCGATAACTGCGATGGCACCTACCAGGAGTACTGCGATGACTCTCGCGAGTACAGCAACATCACTTCCATCCTCGAAGCGCAGAATCGCACGGAGCTCCTGTCCTACATGAAGGAATACTGGCCCGACTACGAGGGTGCTGATGAGGATGAGAGTTTCTGGGAGCACGAATGGAACAAGCACGGTATGTCTGATCAACTTGATTGTCGGAACTGGCATATTGACTTTCTAGGAACCTGCATCAACACCATCGAGCCCAGCTGCTACACCGACTACTACGCTCAGGAGGAAGTTGGTGACTTTTTCCAGCAGGTCGTTGACCTCTTTAAGACCTTGGATTCCTACACCGTATGCAAACAGCTTCCTGTGTTTTATATAGATACTGACAGCAGCAGGCGCTTTCCGACGCCGGAATTACTCCCTCCGAAGAAACCACCTACAAGCTGAGCGACATTGAGGATGCTCTCGCCGCGATCCACGATGGCTACCCCCCGTATGTTGGGTGCGAGGACGGTGCTCTGTCCGAGCTCTACTACTACTTCAACGTCAAGGGTAGCGCCATTGGCGGCACCTACGTTGCTTCTGAGAGACGTAAGTTATATACAATTGGAATATAAGACATAAACTGATTTATTGTACCAGTCGAGGACTCCAACTGCAAGGACTCTGGCATCAAGTACCCGCCCAAGTACAGCTCCAGCAAGAAGATCTAGATTGAGTTGCTCGCTCGATCTAGCTTCTTCACTTGGACAAATGAAGTATGCTGTAAGGTGTGAATTATGAAAAGTTGTGAATTGTGAGATTATCGCACATAGTAGGTAGCCTGCGAGGGAATGATTCTTTAGCAGAACATCCGCCGCAATCATTCATTGCATGTATACTTGGAAGTTATCAACTTCAATGTTTTCAAAGGAATTGCACAATTCCCTGTACAACTAGTAAATTGCTGGGATGATTTAGCTATATAAAGCCTCTCCAGTCCCCTATTGATCTTCCTACTTCTTCTCTACCACAATACAGAAAACAGAATCTGTTTTGATCAACCCAGCAATCTAGTTTTGTTTATCTCATCATACCATGAGCAAACACTTATATCCTTAATAATTCCCAATTCTCAAATCTTCATATTCATATAGAAGACCACTCAAGATGCTTCGATCAATCTCTGTAATATACAGCACAGCCATTATCACTGCCCATGGACATCGCATTCCAAGCATGTAGTGGCAATGACATTACGTACTATAAAGCCAACATAGCAATTGCTCTCCGTCCCGGCGGCACATACGTAATATCCCTAATCCACTCGCCACTCCGAAGTACGTTTCGACAGTAGACCATCTTCACCAAGAGGCTACAAGAGCAATTAATCCATAAAGACTGACTTCAGGCACATACGAACAGTCCCCCAGCTTCCGATCCTATCTTCGGTCCAAAGCATCATCAACAAGGACCCGCTGAAACATTCATCCTTTCAAAGCAAGCTCTGCTCCTACTAGCTAAGATCAATATACTGATCGATTGCGCGATACGGTAAACATGTCCCTAAACTGAAATCGAAGTGTGATTTCAGACAGTGAAGAAAGGAGCAACTACTTCCACAGAGATACATCCGGCCAAAAGTCCAAGTGTCCGGATTGCTGCCGCTTTTTCCACTACTACCTAGCTCCTTTATCCTATCTACGCAGCGAAAACTGAATGCAATCTTACAGTGCCACGTCTTCTGCCACAACCATCATCCTGGCCGCATAGCCTGCCTTCAACTTTTACACTCGAAGGAGAGCATACCTGCACGGAGTAACGCAAAGGACAAGAGCAAAGTGGGATGCGATGAGTTTTGTCTTTTGAGGCTTTACCGATATTGACCAAATAGTATACACTCGTCGAACTTAAAGGAATAGGTAGCTCCAATGGGAAAGAAATCGGAAATGGTTCAGGACGCTCGCGCTTCGGTGTTATGTCGCCAGTGTTCCGAGGAGAGAAAGACGTGTCTCCCAGTAGGTGTCGCTCGACACTTTTGCTATACTGGATACGATGCTGACGTTGGGTAGACTAGCGCGGGAATGCTCGGCAACGCTCACGATTTCGCTACTATTCTCGAGTGGCAAGTGACTATATGTAACCTGAGACTGAACGGGATGACACAAAGCTACAAGAAAATATCTCCCCTATATCAAGATACGTAACAGCCTCCTGCGTTACGCACTCGGACGCACACACAAGACTGATGGGTTGGTCAGAGGGATATGGCCCAGCTTGCGCTGGAATATACCATTTGAGAAAGATCTCTAAGATGGATTGCCCAAGGCCCAATTCGGCATTATTATTATTCTTATAATTCCAACTAGCTGCAAACCTATCACTGGCTGAAGTGTGGGGTAGCTGTTGCGGAAATCAAGACCCACTGGTTGGAGCAATACGAACCAGCTCATACATAAGGCATCATTGACAGCCGAACAGCGCCATATAAGGCTTTGGGATTTGTGACCCCAGCTCACAGGGGGATATAGGACGGATGTTCAGAATAATGATGAGAAACTAGAGACTCTTACTCAAGACAGCATGTTTTGCGATAACTGCCGTCTGCTCTTTGCTGGATCATCTACTATCCTGATGTTTAGACTATTGGGTTCTTCGCTGGATTTTGAATCAACCCTTTTTTTCGCCAGTTCAATTATGTGGCCCTGTGTGACAAATATACTTGGTACAATGGGATGCCTACTGGTTGATTTCTATTTTTATCTTACTTTTACTTTTTTTTTGGATATGTCCAAGGAGAATCTTCAAGGACTGTTGATCCTAGCTCGCAGGAAAGCATCGGACCGATGTCCATCACCTCTAGGAAACCGCAGGCCCTTGAACATCTGATAATATATAGATTCTTTTTCTTCTTAGGGTAAAAAGCCATCACCGTTCCTCACTATCAACAGTCTACCCACCTGAAAACTGCAATCTTATGGCTGAGGCGGTAGATGACCGGTCGCAAAAGCATAGCTGGTTGAAGCAACACAGACCAGTTTGTGGGGAAGTACACAATGATGACAAAAGCGTTGTGTAAGTTCTTTCTCTCCAATATATTGCCTCGTGCTGACTATGGATGTATAGAACAGCCTTGGTCTGGTTCGCCGCGAGACCCTCACCAGCTTTCTTTAGGGTTAAGTGTTGGGTCCGGCTTCAAAGAACGCTTGTCGTGGCGGGATACGCAGCGGACAAAAAAAAGGAATCTGCGGCTGGGTATGATATCCTTGTTACTAACATTCACTAGGCAAGGGAAATACTCCCTAAGCCTGTGCTGGTCGTACTTTCTGCCCGATTCAGCGACACCTGCTATGACGGAACAATAACCGTCACGGACATATTGAGTCTTTGACGATCACAAGACAGAGATCATGGCCCTCTGGGATCTCTGAACAAGCACATACCACCAAGTGCATGTCATATAAATACGTCTTGCCATATATGTTGCTTCGCCTCGAAGAAGAAAAACCGCTTGAGACTGGCAAAGGTCGTCAGATTCACATATCATAAATATCAAGTCCTTATTGACAAAATCTCCCCTGCCCCAGCACGAGAAAAAGCATAGAAATCTGAATCCTAAATCGGGCTGGTTTTACCATGGAATTGAATACAGATTGTTTAGGGCCTCGTGTTGCATGATGCTGAGTCAAACATTACTTTATATCGACAAGGAGAAGGCGAATCACGCACAATGGCATATGGAACGCCTGCGAAAGCTGATACTCGGGTCATCATGGCTCGGCTTTATCAATATTGAGGCAACCCTGCTTTCTTTGGCGGCGGTAGAGTCCCTTGGAGCCGTTAGACGGTGCTTTCGCCCCACACTGGAGGGCAAGGCGGCTGTAGAAGGCTTTTACAGCCGAACCAGGGAGAATCATCAGACGAAAGTATCACTGGGATCCAGCTCTCGGAGCAGGTATATCTGTCAGCTACCGGTCTATGTTCAAGAGTACGAATATTCTGAATTTCGACAAGGGGAAGGATGAAAACTATCATGAAGCCTTTATCCTGCCTAAACATCTTCTAAAGACCTGGCTCGAGATAAGTATTGCCTGGCAGTCTGGCAAAATTACCCTAGCTGAAAAGAAGGAGTGAGAGATAAATACGCGTGACCTGCAGCTGGAGCTGCTGATCATGCTCGCCAGCCCACTGATATTCGAAAATTGCGAGGTCCATCTCCGGCACAGTTTGTCCAAGACTAGGCTGAAAGGTCAGCTACAGAAAATAACCATCCATAATATCCCCATCGCGCGGACATTCTGTGATGAGTGCTACCTTTCCTTTGGTGACAGCAGTCCTATTATCTGTATTCTCGACAAGTTGAAGGCATGCTGGCAATCCATATATTGGTTTCTCTCTGCTATCCCCTGCCCCTTCTCTCCTTATAAAATTTTAAATATTTAGGGAGCTCACAGAGATCCTGGAGTGGACTATTAACCCGGCCACAGTACACTTGAATCATGAGTACTTTGGGGAAGCTCAGGAAGTGTTAGGGGTCGCCCCTTGGTTCCAAGAGTACGTCGCCTGTTTGGACAAGAAATTCTGGACAAGTTCCACCGTCCGTTTAACATTGGGAAGGAAGATCTCCGCTCCTATCTGCCATGGACACTTGCCAACCTGCGCGACCACCTGCACCTAGAGTATGGTGCCCAGCGCGATATGGCAACTAGGCATTATCTTTAATATGCTCTGGTGGGAAAGTTCATTGCCAGGTATGTCCGCATACAGAGACCACGCGACTTCCATACGGTCAAGCGTCGCTATAATGAGCAGAGTAGCGCTGCAGGTACAAACACGGGATCAAATCCTCTTCTTTCTTTTCACCCCCATGGATCTGAGAAAGTTCGAAGGAATAAGTTTTATCAGCGACGAGCTTGGTAATAGTTATCGAAGATTGATGGGACGAGCCGTGATTGGTCTCTGCGGGCAGAATCAAACTACGAAGATGATGATTCTGGAAAAAAAAGAACTGAATATGTGGCAATTATCTACACAATTTAATCTAACCTCGGACTGACCCATACTAGTCTTCATATGTCCGTGTTTCAGAAAGAAAAAGGCATCTACAGATCAAGAAGAAACAGTTTCTTCTTCTAAGCCTAGAAATCAACTCAATCACTACAAGAATTATCAAAACCCTTTCTGGGACTTTGACTGGGAACCTGTGCACGACAAATTCCAGCATCTCCTTACTTAGAAGATGTCTTCCTCCTTCATGGCTGTACCCACTGCAACCAGCTATACACGTTCCCAGAGCCGTTAAGACAGTTCACATCTGCAGCTAACTGCAGCATTTATCCGAGCATTGAGCGAGTTGAAGTGTTGATATGTGCCAAAGTGACTATGAAAAGTTCTAAATAGAAAGATGTATGGAAGAAAAGGATGCTGGTGTAGTTATCAGCGGTGCTGATGATACGACTATCGAGCTTTGGACTGTTGTAAAAACATGCTAGAGATGCTATAGTCACATCCATGAGAAGAAGATAGGCATGGGGCATAGCAGATCGAGGTGAAAGTCTTACTATTGTTGCAACTCATGCTGAAATGTCTGCGAGACCAGGTCTTATTCTAGAAGGTAAAGGGGCATAGTGTGTACTTACTTCCCTGGAGAAAAAGCACATATTAGTGCCGCGCTAACCGGGGCTGGTAGAAGGACAAGTAGGGGATTCTGCGGAGTGGGATGAATTATTTTCAAAATGCTTGCATGGCGCTGACAAAATCACACTTACTGATAAAGTACATACTCGGAATATGGGGGATTGTTACGATCACACATTCTCCTCGAGTACAGCTGACTACGCAGGAAACTACTTAGTTCCGGAAGATTCAGCAGAGAATCGGTATGAAGAGCTTTGAATGGTATACTCGAAGCTCTACTGGAGGATGGTTTTCTGGGCTGTTTCATTTCTCCCTGATTCCTTGAATTAGGTAGAAAGTTCATTACAAAGTACTATGTAGCTAGCTATACAGCGTGTGCAACCAATGTCATTCTATTGGATCAAGAAGGATTACCATCCTAACAATATCATACATTCCCAAATTCACATGTCATAAGTCATAACATCGCCCTGGCTGGCACTTACGCCAGTCATGCTAGTGCGATGCATAGGCAATATACGCCCATCCAACCAGTGGCATCCCTCCGCGTAAGCGAACCGCGTAGTGCGGAGATGAGTTGAGCCCGGTGGATCGAGCCGGAGGCACGTGTCTGGCACTACCTCCGGCTATGGATGATAGCTAATATACACCGCATCGGTCTTCCGTGCGGATTGCGGCATGTAGCCAGCCCGGCTTGCAGACTGGGAAACGTGCCCATATAAAAAAGTCGTGGCCTGGGACAGTGGATCCAATGCTGAAGATTCTAGCGTTGCTCCGCCCCTGCATGGGAGGAGATTCGGACAGGGAATATGCCAGGGCCGAGAGGCAGTCGAGAAGCCAAAGGAAAAGAGGAAACTGAAACCAAAGCAGTTCAGAGCCCCTTCAGACGAGCATTTCTTCTCTCCTCGTCTATCTTGGCCCCCACACGGTCCAAGAAATCCATGCGACCCAGGAACCCTCCTTCGCTTTGCTGTGCACGTTGAGCTCGTCCTTGATTCCAGCCTGGTCCACGTACGCAGCCCAGTCCAGACGCGATTTCTCGACCGTGTTGATCTTCGGTCCCCGGGCGTTTTCCTGCCCAGCCGTCGCCTCCGTAACGGGCTGTTTCTCCCAGCTCTTCTTGATCGTGCCGGTCGGATTCGGGTCGAAGCGGGAGGGTCGTCGAAGGGGTCTGCGCAGTTTGAGGGCGTCTTTGGCGTTCGCGGCGTGGTCGACATCTGCAGCAGTTACGGTCTCCGCGTCCTTGTCGCCCGCCAGGAATAGCTTAGCCTCCGCTGAATCCTTCGGCACAATCTTCTCTTCCGTAATCATTTCTCCGGCAAACTTGTATGTGCGCTTAATCTTCACCATTTCTTCGGTATAGTTCGTCTGGGGTTCCTGTGCGGAGGGAGTCGCATCGTCACCACCTGCCGCTTTTCCGTCGTTCTGTCCAGCCGCAGGCGTCGCATCTTTGCTCTCATCCTGTGCCGAAGAACCATCTACTCCCGAGTCTGGAGCGTTCATCTTCGCCCATAACGCATCCACATCAACCGTAGCGCCGTCGATCTTCGCGAGCGGTTTGCGCTCTTCTCCACTGTAGCAGTACCGTGTCAGTATAATCCCAAATCTAGTAGACTGTCAGACAAATAGATACCCCATACATTCGCATCTTCATCGCGCGCGTCCGCACGAAACCTCCTGTTCCCCCTTCCTCGTCATCATCAAGATCCACATCCACGTCCTCATCCCCCTTCTTCCTCTTCTTATTCTTTGCCTTCTGAATCATCGCCTCATCCCCAGACGCCAGTTCATCATCGTCGGCTGCTGTTTTAGCATCCTTAGTATCCTTCTTTCGTCGCTTGGGCGCTGTCTCGTCGGCGGCCTCCTCTTCGTCGGAATCGGACATGCCCGAGTCCGCGTCATCTTGGGCTGCGTCGAGCTGGAAGTCCTCGTCTTCAGCGGAGTCATACTGCTCGTCATCCAGATCAAGCTCGGCGGCGGGAGAACCCATGTCTGGTGGCATTCTGATAGATAACTGTGATGTATATGTCTGTTGCTGAAGTGGAAAAGTGAAACGCTGCGAAAGACGCGAGATTCTGCCAGGGCGGTGGAGGATACGATAGTTGATTATGTAATGAATGCAGCCAATCGGAGCCAAGATGCGGCGATGGAGATGCAGTGATAACGCCGAGGTTGCTGCGATAAGGAGAAACTATGGATGCCCTTCTACAACACCTTCCAGCAATTCAACAACAAAACTTACTTACACATTGTGTCAGAATCACTCATGCCTCAAATAAACGGCAGCGCATAAAGCTGTCCCATGAACCCCTCATCTCCATACTAAACCCTCTGTCAACGGGCCGAGCCGCGCGCTCGGCCAAATGACTACTAATCACTCCATCTACCGAGGATGAACAAACCTGGACCTCTATATCAACCCACGGCATCTCGATGTGCCTGTAAATAATATCTAGCTTTTCATAATACGGAAAGCTTGACTTATTCAATTGACTGCCATCATGACTACTCGGTCTCCCAACCCCGTCGCCCTAGTGGTGGGCGCGTCTCGAGGCATTGGCCGCCAGATTGCTATCGACCTCGCGAAGAACGGATACACCGGTATGCCAGACAAGGTTTCTCCATGCCCGTACTCATCATGTATCCTCGCTAACGAGGAACGTTGTATATAGTAATCATAGCCGCCAAATCCACCTCCTCGCCAGATCCGACAGCATCCTTCCCACCAGACCCTAACTCCCCCGCCTCCACCATCAACACCGTCGCCCGCGAAATCACCCTCGCTGGAGGCACCGCCCACCCCATCCAAGTTGATGTGCGCGACCCCAGCCAGATTGATAACCTAGTAAACGAGACCGTACGTATCAGCGGTGGTCGGCTGGATGTTCTGGTCTACAATTCTGGTGCGATATGGTGGTCGTCTGTTGCCAATACGCCTCTTAAGAGGTTCCAGCTGATGCAGCGGGTTAATCCGGAGGGGCTGTATGCGACTATCATGGCGGCGTTGCCGGTATTCGAGAAGAATGGGTGGAAGGGGAGAATTGTGGTGGTCTCGCCGCCGATTTATTCGAGGTTTTTCAGGGGAAAGACGGCTTATGCTATGGGTGAGTCTTTGGGTTAGGAAAAAGAGTTCTGGGTAGTGCTGACAATACATAGGCAAGGTCGGGATGAGTGTGCTTACACGTGGCTTGGCTATGGATTGGGTGAGAGAGGGAAAGTCGGACATGGCTATTACCAGTATTTGGCCTGCTGCGGTACGTTAATACCTTTATTGGGGGTGGTTTCTGGCTAACGTTTGAATTGGTAGGCTGTTGAAAGCGCAGCAACGGAGATGAACCCTGCGAATAATGGCGATTCGCGAAAGGCTGATTTGAGGAAGCCGGTCGGTTCCTATTAGCATACACCTTTCCTTGTGATACATACTAATAAATGACAGACAATCTTCTCCGACGCAATCCTCGGGATCTTGAACACACCAGCACACGTCGTGAACGGACTTCTAGCTCTTGATGAGGACTTCCTACGTGATTACTGCGGGGTGACCGATTTCTCCAAGTACTCCGTCATCCCCGGAAGCAATCCAAGACGCATGATGCCGAAAGAGATGCCCGTGCTAGAAGTCGCGGAGCAAGACGACGAGGGAGTGAGGATGGACAGTAGCAAAGGGAAGGGAGAAGCGAAGCTGTAACGGCCCAGCCCTACATTACATTCAGGGATCTAGTGCATACCCTATCATGACTATATCAATTTACCTATGGCTCCCACAACACATCCACCAACACCAACAATACACCCCCCTTCAACCATCCAAACCCACCCCATCACCTCACCTCACCTCAAGTCCCAGGATACTTCTCCACACCCCCAACAGAAACCTTACTCTCCCCCTTCAACCCTCCCCCTGCCCCCATTCCACCCCCAATACCCTCCACCCCCCATCCATCCTCCCCCTCAACCCGCCAACCTTCCTCTCAACCCAAACCCCTACACCAACCACCAGCCCCATAACAACCTCCAACCCCAGCAACACACAAAGCAAGACAAACCCAGCGCTTGTGACGTCACAATCCCGCTTGAAATGCACCGGCGCCGTAGCATAACCCCCAACCGTGGTATTATAACTACCGCTCGTACTAGCACTAACAGTGCTATTCCCACTACCACTACTACTCACAGAATCATATCCATCCCTCACAACCCCCCACTTACACGTCCACGAATGCAGCGTCTCCATCTCACTAAACCCGCTCGGATGCTTCGCTCCAGGCTGGTAAATCACGAATACGAGGCCCACGAGCGCGGCGATGAAGCCTGAGAGGGCGGTTGCTGCAGCGAGGAGGTTGAGGAGGCGGATGTGCGGGCGGGGCTAGCGTTAATCATTAGTATCACTCTGGATATGGATGTTGGTGTAAAGGAACTCACGGAAGGAACAACGGCTGTAACGATGTAAAGCAAGTTCTGGAATGCTATCACGCAGCCGCAGGCGAGTATGGCAATGGTGGGTCTGAGATCTAGGTTCAAGGGCCAGAGGTTGAGCCAGACTCGTGCGTATGGGGAGGTTTGGCGGTAGTGATGGAGGGCGATGGCTTCGCAGGCGATTGTTGGGATGGTGGTTAGGAAGGTCAGGATGGCGAGGGCTAGGCGCGTGTGTCGGAGGTGTTGGGTGCGGGTGAGGAATTTGGATTCTTCTTCGATGGAGGCGGTTGAGGTTATGGTGGTGGTTATGGTGGATTCGGTGGAGAGGCTGCGGTCCATGGTGTATCTTTTTTTCTTTTTCTTTTTCTTTTTCTTTTTCTTTTGTTTTTTATGGGGTGGGTTGTGAGTGATGGAGGAGTGTAGAGAAGAAAGAGCCTTGCCAGAAGGCTGTATGTATAAGAGGTTGAATTGAAAGAGAGAAGGGTATCTATGGGAGAAGGAGTGGAACGAATTGGAGCTATAGACAGTAAGGAAGGTAGTGTACAGACAAGATAGAAAAGACCCTGACAAGAAAACCTGCAGACATCAACTACTTATGCAAGCAATGAATAGTCCATCTCAACTTCTGCAGCATTCTTCAGCTGCCAAAAATAAGACTGGTCTCTCACAAAGCGCGAATAGATGAAACATCTTCACGAGAGCCCTTCAGCCATAAAAGCCTAATAGCCGCCCACGGGAAATGCGCCGCGCCTATTTGCTGTCTCCTGCATGAGCGCGAAGACGCAGGAATCCTTCAAACTGACTTGATGCAGCCTTGTCTCCTTCGGCGCTTAGAAGAGGTCGGTGCGTCGAGCAGCGCAAATGGATGACTTGGACTTGGACAAAGGCACTCGGCTTCTGTGTAACACGTCCGTCGCTTCCTGTCCTATTGGTGTGAATAAGCCTGGTTTGAAACGCCACTCCTTTTTGTCGAACATCATGGATCAAAAGGAGACATCTGCTGATGAGCATGATAGCTCCCGGTCCTATCGATGGTACATTCCCGCACCACTCGTTCTATCCTCGAGGATGAGTTGAAAGTTGGGGCCTGCGTTCCTTCTAGTATGGGAGGGTTGAACACAAAATTAAATCCAGCCAAAAGGACAGCAGCTTTCACGTGGATCGGTTGCCGTCACTGTATCCTGTGGCTTTGATGATTCCACCAATGCCAGAGAGGCCCGTTGGGGCAATTTATTCTCTCTGGAAGCGCATGCCTTGCTGGGATTCTACTATGCCTCGAACTTTCAGAGTGCAAGCAACTCAACCCCCAGACTCAACCATATATCAGGCTCAATCACATCATTTTGCTCAGGCGCTGAGATTTCTCTGCATGTCCTCCACATTCTGTTGGTCCTGTTGGTCTGTTGGAGGTCTAGACTCCGCTCTGGGAATTGCCCTAATGGGACATTCTCCGCACCGTCTGTTTGTCCAGCTTTCTTGGGTATGCAGTTTGTAGGTTTCCCATCACTAGAGAGCATCCACAATGGTAGGGATCAAATGAGGCAGATGCCATCCACCTCAGAGACGTGTATTTGTTATACAGGTGTCGATCATCACCCAAAAGAAGCGCGATGAAGCAGCGGCACGGGACCTGCATACAGACTATGAATGGGTCATAGACTTCATATCCCACCTCTTACAATAACGTCTACGACTGTTCCAATGCGGAGCTTGATTGTGCAGCTCTTGGCTAGGCGAGCGATCAGCACTGCAACCTTCCCTTCGGCATATTCAGCCAGCACATGTCTCCTCTTAGTTTTTAGCCTACGGCGAAGTGAAGCCGATCATCCGAGAACAAGCGAATTCGAAGTATCCTTCCGGCCTCTGTGGAAGACTCATCTGGGGTCCCCACAAGCCACCATATAATTGAAACACGCATACTTCTCTGAGAGTGGGCAGCGGGATAATTGCAGCGGGATCATGGGGTCCTCGGGGCCCGAGATTCCTGCCAGACAGCGCGACTCACAGCCAGTCTGGACCTAGGGCTGTAAACAGGCCTTGGCTTCGCCAAGCCTACGGGTATTGCTCCGTAGGTACTCAGCACGCCTGCGCCAGGACCACGAGCTAAAGCCACCAACTTGTCGCGAATCACATTTGCGCTGATTGATACCGGGTGAATATTAAGCCCTGATGTGCAGATCATCGCAATTTTCCTCAAAGCCAAGCCAATCAGTGGCTTCTAGATAGTAATGACACGCGGCGTCTGGGGTGTTGGTCTCTTGAGGGACATCATTAGGCGGTCTTGGCGGGCGAGCTTCATCGCAGCGTCCCCGCAGCCGATGGTCTTGGCCGGTGGGAGGGATTCGTCATCTTCCTTCCTGGCAAGTAGATTCATCACTTGAGCACGCTTTCGCTCATTTTTGGCCGGCAACATTGGATAGAGCAAGCAGGGATTAGTACACGCTCGTCATTGATCCTACCCACTGCTGACGACAGTTACTTGTCTTTGGAGGTTGGTATCGCTTCGGCAAGGGAACAGACTCCGCGCAATGGCAAAATCGTCCGCGCCCAGATTGGTATAGACTGCACAGTACATCGGCAACGCGCACTTTGATGTCGACGCTCATGATGGAGGGAGCAGCATATAAAGGCTCTTCATCCGGGAGGCATCTGAGGGAGACATCCAGCAGAAAGCAGTCTCTTCAAGGCCTCTCTAGCTTCCACCCCTGCAAATATCGCCTGTTCCCTGTCCAAATCTTTTGAACTTCATCTTTTAAGCCCCCTCAAAATGCATGTCCAGAGCGTTGTCAAGTTGGCCGCGGTAGGATGTGCAGTTCTTGCCACTGCCCATCCCGGCCATCAAGAGAAGCGCGCCAACTCTGACCTCCTGGATTTGAAAGCCAATATGCGTCGTGGCTTGGAAAATTGTGCTTCCAAGTTCGAGCGCAGTGGTCTTAATGCTCGTGCCGAGGCTCGTCGTAGGGCCTTGGTGGACCTCCACCGGAGGCGCCTTGCTGGGCGAGATACTGACTCGGTCCTCAACAAGTCCCATCTTGTGACCGGTTCTGATATCACACCCGACTCCTCCGCCAGCGAGGTCTTTGCCAATACCAGTACCTGCATTCTGAACCCAGAGGGTGAGACTGGACCCTACTATGTCCCTGGCGAGTACATTCGGTCGGACGTCCGCGAAGATCAGTCAGGTGTCCCCGTGGTGATTGAAGGCCAGTTCATCAACGTTGAGACCTGCGAGCCAATCACCGACCTGTACTGGGATATCTGGAACTGCAATGCCACCGGTGTCTACTCCGGCCTTGTCGCCAACGGCAACGGAAACACCAATGACACTTCCAACCTGAACACCACCTTCCTCCGTGGTATCCAGAAGACTGACTCTGACGGTGTTGTCACCTTCGAGTCTCTCTTTCCGGGCCACTACTCCGGCCGTACCACCCATCATCACATGGTTGCCCACCTGGATGTGACTGTGCTTGACAACAACACCATTACTGGCGGCACTGTTGCGCATATTGGTCAGCTTTTCTGGGATCAGGATCTCATCAACGATGTGGAGGCTACTTACCCTTACAACACCAACACCGTCACGCTCACCACCAACGCAGAGGACCGCGTCTTCTCCGACGAGACTGAAAACTCCGACTCTGACCCTGTCTTGAACTACGTCTACCTTGGAGACAGCTTGGACGATGGACTCTTCGGATGGGTGACTGTCGCTGTCAATGTGTCTGCCACCTATGACCCTAACTACAGCTTCGTCTACACCTCCAGCGGTGGTGTTGCTGTTGATGACGACTCTTCCACTCCCGGTGGTGGTCAGTCTGGTGGCAGCCAGCCAAGTGGTGGTCAGCCCAGTGGTAGCCAGCCTACTGGAGGCCAATTCTAAGAGAGCTCTGGTATAGATGCCACAGGAGATGACAGAATTATGTGGTGAGTCTCGAGAGATTGAAAACACTGTGTGTTTCGTGATAAAGCTTCCAAGTTAAGAATGATAGCACTCTTTGGAATACGATTTGTGCGTAATTTTCACAAAACCGAAGCTTTTGCCATTGGTTGTAAGTAGGCGGGTGAACTGTAGTCCTGGAGGGTAAGCAAATAACTCAATGTAAGTAGATGTAGAGTCTGTTTCTCCACCAGTTATCAGGGCCGTAATCAATTGACGGTAAGCGAGGGAGTATTAGCTCTCAGTCATCAGAACACTAAGTTATGATGAGTGTAACGGCTGTTCGTTAGTCCATAGCACACAATAATATTCAAAACCGCCTGTATCATTGTAAGATACCCTCCACATCCCGAGCCTTTCGGAGCGACGCGATGTAGAAGACTCCCGAGTATTTACCCAGGGGTAGTAAGCGCCAGGATGTCAACCACCGCGGACACCCCCGTGACATCACATGCCCACACCCCACACCAACCAATCATAAGCAAGGCGGTCATGGATCCCAAATTCCCCCGCGACAAAAAATTGGCGGGGAAAAACCGGTCCATGGGAATTTCTTGTACGTAGTTGATTTCCCCCAGATATTGACTATTATTATACCTCATTGATTGGATTCAGTATTTGGTTCATGCTGTTTCCTCGAATCTTCAGACCTAATTTGGTTATACCTCGGTATTCAAAGTTCTACTATTGTTCGGGAAAAAGAATGCCTCTCTCCAAGCTGCAGGGCGTGAAGCTCCCCGCTTCCGCGGACTTTCATGGTGCGTATCACTTTTTATTTGGATGATTGCCAATTGTGTCCAATGTTGAGGGGGTTGTTTCGATTTGGCTAATGGAGATGGGTGGAGTTAAGTGCATCTTCGCGATGGTGATATGATGGAGCTTGTTACTCCTACTATTAGACAGGGTGGTGTCAACACCGTTTTTGTTATGGTAAATTTAACACTCTGTACCGCTTTGAACTTCTGACCATATTTATATGTGGTTGGTGGAACTGCTGCATTGCAATTGGGACAATATAGTAACTTGGATGTCTTTCACCAGCCGAACTTGGTCCCTCCCGTGACCACCGTTGACCGCGCGCTTGAGTACAAGCAGCGTCTGCAGGCCATTGAGCCCAATGTGAACTATCTCATGTCTCTGTATCTCCATGAGACTATCACCCCGGAGACCATCATCGATGCCAAGAAGCGCGGCATCACTGGCGTCAAGAGTTACCCGGCCGGTGTCACTACTAACTCCTCCTCGGGCGTCATCGACTACACTCAGTTCTACCCTGTCTTCGCTGAGATGGAGCGTCAGGATATGATCCTCAACCTGCACGGTGAAGTCCCATCCAAGGGTGATGTGACCGTTTTGACAGCAGAGGAGCGCTTCCTGCCAACCTTGCTCCAGCTGCACGAGCAATTTCCCAAGCTGAGGATCATTCTCGAGCACTGCACCACCGCCGCTGCGGTTGAGGCTGTCAAGAAGTGTGGCCCTACTGTTGCCGGAACAAGTGAGGACTCTTTCCATAGCTGGATAATCGTACACTAACAGCTGTTCTAGTCACGGCCCATCACCTGTCGATCATCATCGACTCCTGGGCTGGAGATCCGTTCTGCTTCTGCAAGCCGGTCGCCAAGACGCCCGCGGATCGTGATGCCCTTTTGCGCGCAGCAGCCTCCGGTAACCCCAAGTTCTTCTTCGGATCCGACAGCGCACCTCACCCGGCCGTGTCCAAGAGAGGAGGCGATAAGATCGCAGCCGGTGTGTTCACTCAGCCCCACACCACCCAGCTTGTCATCGACGCGTTCGAGCAAGCTTGCCAGAATGGCGTCTTGAAGGAGGAAGACATCACCCCCGAGATTATTGAGGGTTTCATGAGCAAGTTTGGTCGCAATTTCTATGGCATTGGCGAAGAGCAGAAAGAGTTCATCGTCATCGATAAGAAGGATGAGAAGATCCCGAACATCTTGAAGTCGGACAAGGTGGATGTTGTTCCATTCAGACGGGACCAGCAGACATGGAGCGTGTCGTGGTCTGCATGAATTCGGTTGACTGAGTGAAAATAGATTTCCTTGATGGAACTGGGACAAAGAACCATCCCAGTGTTTCTCGATTCATGTCTTTAAGCTGATTTCTTGTCTCCTTGCGTAAGCATTCCCGTAACGGCCTCAAGAGCCTGTGCCTCTGCAATATCTATCTTACGGCCGGCAACGACGGTGGTATTATCACTACCGACCGCCAACTGACCAGCCCTTTCGAGGTGCAGCCTAACTCTGCTTTCGATGTACTCGCGTCTCGCATCGGCATTGGGTTCCGCATCCAGTTTATCTCCGGATTGTGGTAGAGTCGCCAATTTCGGCCGGAGTTCCTTAAGCAGCGCTTGTAGACCAGGGAGCTGAGACAATATGAACGTAGCGTTCGTGGTGATCGGGGTATGTTGGGTGTTTGATCCGGTAGCGGCACCGACACGTAGCTGCTGTGCAGCTGGGCTAGAAGTCAAGAAAGACAAGTCCAGGTTTGGTTGACCGTTGGGAGTGACACCATTCTCCTGTTTTGCGGTCTGCGCATTCGACAGGATGGAGCGTAACTGAGCAATTACGGCCTCATTACGTGCGCTTTCCTGTTTCAGCAACCGATTCAACTTCTTGGTTTCGTGTAACTTCTTCCGCTGGGCGGAGATCGTCTCTGGAGTGGGGGCATCGGAGGGGGGCTCCAAGTTCAGGTTCTGATCAGGAGACAGGCTGGTTAGAAGAGAAGGGGAGCTGGAAGCTTGATGGGTCAACATACCTCGTAGTGCTTCAGCCGAATCCATCCCATCAGATCGTCGGGTACCTTGAACGTATTGCGCAGCACGAAAAGCTCAAATTTATCGAAAGTTTTGTCGACTGTCGCCTCAAGCAGTGTTTCTAGCTGATGTAGTCCATTTTCGATTTCCAGCTGTGCTTCTGGGTAGATAACATTCCCGTCTTCGTCGGTGTCAGGTATAGTCGAGCCATTATTCGCATGCGAGAAACCCAGGCGCTCCGGAGGCGTGCCCAGTAGACCTGTTTCAAGACTTGAAATAGCTTGATAGATTAAGTTGTTGATCGAGTTGATAATGTCATCTATGAGAGACTGCGCCGAGTCAGCTTGGGTTGTTTTCAACAGCGCGTCGCCAAAGGGCCATACGAACTAGGGGCGTATAGCTGAAATGCTCTGTGAGCAGGGAAGTTGTCGCGTCACTCATGGTGATATCTTCCTGTCAGGGTTCATGGTCTAGATTTCGTATTGAGGGGTGAAGGAGGTTTCGGACTTCTTAGGTAGACGCGTTTGCGCGCGAATGCGGGTTAAAACAGTTGGTTTCGGTCCGCCGCGTGAGGAGACCCGACTTCCGTTGGAGCCAAGACTGTGTACCTTGTGGACGCGGGGTTCTGCCGCCCGCACATTTAGAGAATGTTCTTAGAATTTAGTCTTACTTTCCATTCCATTTTACAGCCTGGGTGTTCTTCCATATTCAATGCTAGTCAATCCAACAACGAGCTTGGATTTATTGATGAAAATTTTAGCCCATGGCTTATATTGCAAAAGTTAGCTCCATCCTTCAACAATATCCGATATGGTGTAGTGGCTAACATCGCCGTCTCTCACACGGCAGCCGGGGGTTCGATTCCCCCTATCGGAGCTCAAATTCTCTTTTTTGTTTACTACCGAGTACTCCATCCTACTATTATTACATTTCCTTTCTTCGGAAACACTTGACTTACATTTTTGCACCTGACGCTACTCGATGTTGCTTCTCCTCGAAACTCCTTCTGTGGTCAAGTAGCTAATTGCCAAGTCTGACTCAACATCACTCATAATGTATACACTCGATCATGAGTCATATTTCCATCCCAGGAGTGCGCTAAGCCACGTTCATTCAGCTCACTTTCCCGTTTCGGACTACGGCGATCATACAGGGCATCAGTATAGTACGTGATCTGATGCGATGCGGTGAATCTATCAGGCCTTCCATGCAACACACTTTAATCATGCTTACAGGGATTGTTGGAATTGGCAATATGAGCAACATAGTAGACTTCCAGTTGATGGCCTTTGGTTAGCAAGAATATATAACCTGTGAACATGTCTTCAATCATCTCAGCATACAACCAAACATTTCCAGGACAGTACCAGAACCTAAGAGTGTGATAGCTATTGAGACCATGGCTTCAGAACCATCGACCGAGACGCAGCAGAAAGTTCACGATGCCCCGGAGCAGGACTACGAGCGTAGCTCGACACCCCAGCCGAATGCTCAAACAAGAACACCAACGCCTACTTCCTTCGAGACGGAGTATAACTCTGTCACGTTAGGCTCACAGAAGCCGGAGCCTGTGGAGAATAGACTTCGTCCTGCAGCAGGTACATTTCAAGACTGGATTCCTGGCAGGGTCACTAAATTCAATCACAGACATAATCAACCGAATTATCTGGGACTCTGCCTTCGATGGTACCGATTACGTTATTGGATATGAAGATCGATTCGAAGGACGCTTGGAGTCTGGTTTCAATGCGTGGAAGAAGGAGACAACCGACGAGGAATTCATTCCTCAACACCGGATCCTCTATATCAAACGTCGGTCGGATGGTGAGATCGTGTGGGACAGGAGACGGAGAATCGACAAGGTATTCTATAGTGGCAACTCTGCCTTTGACTATCTTGGGTTTTTGGCTTGAGTGTGTTTGTCGGTTCCATGATGCGGACTGGCGATCATAACTGGGATGTGGTTACACCGTTACTCTATCGTGAGCCTCGTGCAACTGGTCGGTGGACACCCGTGTATGGCAAGGCTGATCCGTAGCTGCCTTCTGGGTGTACCGTGCAGCCCCACTGGTTGTGATGGCTGGTACTTGCCTATCTACAAAGATATAATTTACCGCGTTGGGAGCCTGTAATGGCAGGAAGTACTACCTCTTAGAAGTATCATATTTCCCGTCTAATCAGCGCCTCAACAACCACCGCAAGGAATCTAAGTCAGTCCTACATAACTTCTTATACTGCAGCAAAGAAACAGCGGGCAATCTTTACGAACTCCATAAACATCTACGCCGCAATGACCGCAAGGCGCCACAGGATTGACTTTTCCCTGCGAAGACGGCGTAACGATTTGTCGAACACGTCGTCCGGCAGTATATCACCACCAGTACCTGTTCTCCAGTCACCTGTCACGTTTCAAGCATTTGCATCAGTTAATGTCTCCGAGGCAACACTCAAGCAGAAGAATAAACTAGAAAGGGCACCTGTGAGGCCATCCATGTTCTTAGAAGAGAAGGATGATGACGAGGCCTCGATTTCTGCTCTGACTGGCGGTGCACCTCTGGATGTCAAGCCAGCTCATGTAGAGCGGAAGAGTGTTGAGGAGAAGCCGATGACTCGAACGAAAAGCCAGTACTTCGAAGACGCCTTTAGCACAAGGGGTCCGTTGACCTCACCCAGAACCCAGATCAGCCAGGATTCGGTCGTGGTGGTAGAGATAAAGGTTAACACCAAGGTGCGTGGTGGTCTATATCTGCTCATCATCCCCAGCAATGAGAGTATGATCATTGTATAGTTCTGACCCCAGGTGCAGGTCAAAGAAATGGAGTCGCTTGTCTCGAACATTTCGTCCCATATGGCACGCATCTTCCAGAAATCCGAAACACTTATGATGACCACCATTCAAGAAGACGCATGCATCCAATTCGGAAGAGTAAATCTACCAGCCTACCTGATGAAAGTCTTCGCGCTGCCATACCTCATCGCACCGATAACCAATCTTCGTAGCACCATTCTGATCCAGGCAGCACTGCAAGAAATCCTCCATGTGGCTCCAAACCGAGGAGTCATCTTATATATTCCAATTCCCGAAGAGAACTTCGCGACCAACGGAGTGACAATGATGGGTGAAATTGCCCGTTTGGAGCGTTCTTCCCCAGATCACGGCTCTGGTCTATTTAAAACCGTCTCACGAACCATGAGTCGAAGACTGAAATCCACCAGCTCGCAGAGCGCACCTATTTCGGTTGCAACTACATCTTCCTGGGCTTGTGGTGGCACACAGGCGCCATCGCAGGGCAAAGAGTCATCACTAGCAAGTGATGCTACGGACAGCGATGTCAAGTCGAAGTCAGGTACAAAATCCAGGGGCTTCCGTCATTTTCTTAACCGTCAAGGTTCAGAACGGAATGGAAAGTCCGGGGATACGCGGTAGTAGCCTACATTGACGTGACCATTACCCCAAAACGATTCTCTTGTTCATTTTGTACTTACACTCTTTGTCATTATCATTCACTTTCGCCATCCAACGAGCCTTTTGTATTTCCCTAACAGGTCACTTATTGCCATCATGAGCAAACTGTGCGGAAGTTTCAGCGGTGATCGATTGTATTCACGGTAGCTACCTTCTTTGAATTCAATTTTGTTTTGTCTATTGGCCTCTTTACTACCACTGATAATTCGAATAACGCCCGTGAATTAAACCCTTTTTTAAATCCTTGTCTGATACTTGGTCCCTGTTGCTCTCGAAAGAACGGTGGACCATATCATCACACACACACACACACACACACACAGATACAGCACACAGCACACTCAGTACGTATGGAGCCAAGAAGCACTACAGGGGGTCTCTTAGAGATCCAAGGTAGCCTGTTCGATGCTCCAGAGGGAGCAGCGCTGATCCGTACGTTTCTCTATCTACGAATATGAATGTAACTAATGATGGAAACAGATGCATGTAACTGCCGTGGCACCTGGGGGAAGGGAATAGCAAGAGTCTTCCGAAGAAATGTGCGTCTCTCGTAGTATTTTACCTAGGGTGCTATGCAAATCTGACTAAAGCTTAACAGTACCCTGCTGCATATGAGATTTATCGATCCCACTGCCGACAATTCTCTTCCAAGCCCAGATACGATACTATCACAACAAGCGATGGCACACAAAAAGCTCGACTGCCAGAGGGAACTGCTCTCATTATCCCACCACAGAAGAGAGATTATGAGAATGACCGCAGGAAACGCCATTGGATAATCTGCCTTTTCACGTCAAGAGGGCTTGGAAGGATGGTCAGTCCTGAAGATATAGTGCTGGA